TAGACGGTCAGTGTATAGGAAACCTACCTAGACGGGACAATACTTAAATTTCCATAGTTTTTGTCCATTGCAATACAAGCGAGGCTTGGTTAAGTGTCTCTTTAAGAGGACTCAAAGGATTTGTACATCTGACACTGTGGGAAAAGATGAAAAGTTACTGACTGACACATTAATAGCAAATGGTTATCCGCTAAAGTTTATTAAAAGGTGCAAAAGTCAGTTAATGCCAAGACCTCTTGTTTATTCAGTTCAAAGAAAAAAGTTTATATCAATCTACCATATAGAGACGTATTCAACAGCATAGTTTTAAGACAGAGATTAAAAGCGGCGATTGAGAATACCTATTATGCTGTTCAATTGGTTGTGATTGAAAAGTCTAAGGCCATGATTTCTAGTAGGCCCAGACAATGTATTAATGATTGCGTCACATCCCATTGTATTTACCAATTTACATGTTTGTGTGGACACACATACATAGGAAGGAGTAATCGGATAATGCAATCAAGGGTCAATGAACGTGTGTCTAAATGGCTTCAAAATCAATGTGTGTCAAACGATCCGATCAACATGGGAGGTAGAAAACCAGGTTCATCGATAGCGAAACATAATTGAAGAGGGGCACAAAATTGACATCATTACAGCTTTTAAAACACTGTATAGAAATTGTCGTGCCCCCCAAATGCCCTGGTATGGCCGAGAGTGGGGAGAGTCCGCTCTCCCTCTCGAAATGCTCTTACATGGCCATGCGTATATAGCCTCTACCAGGGAAGTCCTACTCACTGCCTTCTCGCACCACGGGTGTTGTTTACGAAAATGAGAGGACGAAAAGCGAATTTCCGGCGCTTTAACCGGATCCCAAACCAATGGTGCACATGGGCTGGCTCCAGTATCCTGCGGGAACAAATGGCGTATGAACCAATCGTTGGTCACCGGCTACCATGGGACTGCATCTCCTCACGATGCTCCACTGCCTTGTGGGTCAGACGTTCAGGTCGAAGGCTCGGGGTGTGGCCCCCTAAGAAAACCGCCTGCTTCGGTTTGGGAACCCGGGCAGTATCACAGCCCTCACACAAATCAATTGAGATTTGTGTGGCGCATATGTATTTGGTGCCTCCCTGTACCTATACTTATGTGTTAAAATAAATAATAATAATAAATAGAAATTGTCGTGGACGAATTCTTAAGTTTATTGAAGCTTTGGCTATTCGTAAATTTAAACCCCCTTTATGTGTACGAAAACAATTTGTCGTAACCTCGAATTTACCTTGGTAATCCTTAAGTCATTCTATGGCCTAGGATAACGCGACAATTTCTTATTCTTTCTCTCCCCTTTGTTATTATTTTTTGTTTGTTTGTACTTGAACTTTCATGTAATTAACCTTTATTAATTTTCATATAAAATGCCCTGACAAGTATATGTGTGACCAGATTGTTTGAAATGTATAGCGCAAATACATCACATTTTTCAGATCAACTCCGTCTTCTCATTGTTCTATCGAGTACCTGCTTTTGATACTGATTGTATGTTAAAACATTTTTGCACCACAACCGTTATTATTTGGGTGACAGAAAACCATACAGGGTCACAAACTAGTTCAACTCCTAATATGTAAACTCAATGTTCTTCTTTAACTGTAACGCATATTTCAACATACATGAGCCAATTAATCACATTAAAACTAATATTATATTGTGATTTTATTGCTTTTTATGGACAATTGTTTTATACTAAAACCTTTTATCATGATTGTTAAGCATGTCTTTCAAGGTCGTCAGTATCGTTTACTTTTACCAAAATTGAAACCAACAAAAGTGGATAAATACTGTAACCTCATATTACTGTATGAACGTTGAAACCGAGGCTTCATAAAAACTGAGAACAATCACTCAAATGTGCTATAATAACAAAAATAATAATGACCAGTCATTTCTACTAGAAGCCGTTGTTTGAAAATATTGGTGAATGAACATAGCTTTATGATGAATGTTAGTACTGTAAACCAATAATTAGAAACTACTCTTTGCGATCATCAACGTAGATACATAAATAGTCTAATTATCATAGCTTGGTGATATCCAACATGATTGTTGAACCTTATACGATCAAGAAAAAACGCTGACCATCGGCGACATTGTAAGACAGTATCAACTGCTGGAAAACACCAAACGAATAAATGATACCAACTATATTCATTGAGGTTTGGATTATTCTGGAAAATAAGTACTTCAAATATCCTCAGATTTGTTCACGTTCATGAGATGAATTCATTTGAAATGCACGTAAACTATAAAAGGCCAAAGTGGTTGGAATATGTGTGATGTATGCCCAGGGATCATCTATGTGCAACTATGAGTTAGTTAGAAAGCTAGGTGGTGCCAAACCAAAAAGTAGTATCGATCAAAATTGTTTCAGTAAGCACAATCTTGTTGATCGTCGTCTGTACAATAAATGTATTCTATGATTGGGAAGTTTGTGACATGCAGTAGCCCGAATTATTTCTCTGGAATTAACAAGTTTGCACCTAATATTTCACATTTCCAGCTTTAATCAATTCATGATATGATTATGCGACTATAACTGAGTTTCATTGGTTATAGACTTGCCTCATACTTGATATGGTTGAATTATACCAATCATACCTTTCCATCCAGTAGCACTTTCAATGTCCATCTCAACATTAGCTACTAGTAAGCATATGATCTTTATTAACAAGTGAAAATTAAGTTTGAGCATAATATAGAACTAACCAAGGTTAAAGAAACGGTTTAAAGGTCATATTATAAATACAGAACCAAGACTTTAACCACTGACTTATTACAGTTGATTAATTCAATATAATTACTCATTGTAATATTTACTTTATTTCAGTGTGACGTTTATTCAAGATACAATATTCTTGTATTAAATTCAAGTGTCTAGCATAATATGCAACATGCAATTTTGTTATCATTTCATAAACGTAACATTTTTTTTCTAAATCAAAATCAAATTGGTATACAAGCCAACATAGAAGTGAGTGTATCTTTGAGTACGGATCAGATTGCTGAGAACAAAACACCGACTTGTGAATATGGAGGTGAAAAGATTGTGAATGAGTTTGAAAAATATTATAAGAAGTGATATTTGGTTGCAATAGATTTTAAGGTTAGAATTGGGATAGAATTAACTTTAGGAATAGTGGTCAGGTAATATATAAGTTAACACTAAACCTTAATGGTTGGGAACCCACGGCTAAATTGAGAATAATGAATTCATCACGCAAAAGTAATATTTGATTAAAGTATGTTATACTCAAATCTCGATAATGCAATGAGGACACGAAGTTTATCAGAATTATGTGATATATTTGTGTAATACATTTCGAACAAACTGATCACACATGTACTTGTTAAAAACATCTATATATGAAAATTAAAAGGTCAGCTAGACAGGTTAAGGGTAAGCCATAACAAAGGAAATATATATATATATTAAAGTACACAAAAACAAATGTGATTACCACTCTGGATGATAAATCACTATTACCAGGGTAGGTTAAGTGTCAGGACAAATTGTTTTTGGACACATTAAGAGGGTTTCAATTTCCGTATAGCCAAGGCTTCAATAAACCATGCTATATGTCCTTGAAGGCTTTTGTATAGCACTACAAATGCTGATTTAATGTCAACCTTATGACCCGTCTCAATCAAATGTTTCGCAATGGAGGATGATGTCTGTCTATCCTGTGATCTTATTTAACCATTAGAATCCACTTGTTTCTGCAACCATTTTGGTATGTGTTCACCCACTCTTAATTGCAAATCATGATTGCTTCTCCCTATGCACGTGTTTCCACACATACATGTAAATTGATAGACACAATGGGATGTGATACAATCGCTTTCGTGCTGTTTGGGCTTTTAGTGAGACATAGACCTTCTCAAATCCTTGAGAGAGCAATCAAAATTAAGGTGACCGATGTTGAATATTAGAGTGAATTTAAAACGTTATCATTGATAGCTTCATGTTAGATACCATGATTTTCACTAGGTTCCCGATTTTTAATGAAATGGATGATGACTATTTTGTCCAGAGAAGTTATGTTGAGTGTTAGAATTAGGAGTTAAGGTTTAGAAGCCATCAAGATTTCCAGCGTAATTTACCGATGGTATCCCTTAACAAAATCAAATAATCACGTTAAAATCCTGAAATCTACGTAAATCTCCCAGTTTTTTTTGTAACATCGAGTTATTTTACAAAAGTTGCATTCTGATTGGCTATCTGATCAAGCTCAAGGTTACTTAACATCTTTTAAGACCGTCATTATAGTGCACTCGCACACTCAAGTGCCCTCGTAAATAATTGTGTTTTGTACAATGTCTCATTCATACACACTTGCTCATTCCTGATTGGTTAAAAGTTTTCAAGGCCAGTTTAACAGTCGCTAAAGTTGAGCATAACAATTCAATATTAAAGCATATGAGACTTCTGAATATTATTCAATTTGAGGGGGGTTGATGCATTATTATTGATCTATAGATTCACAGTTTGACATGAAAGATAAAAAATGAAAACAATTTTTTTTAATGGAATATCAATTTTCATTAAATTATATTTTTATACAGTTAAAGCACAAAAAAGTGGAGAATATTTGTAGCTTAGGTGGATGATTTTGATGGAGATTTGTTCTCTGAGTTGGATGGTTTAATCGTGGAGCTTTCATCGTTCTTCTGAAAGATACCCATCAGCACATACTTCAGGTAGATAATTATATCGTTCAGAATAACGATGAATACTTCACGACTAAACCGTCCAGCTTAGGAAACAAAACTCCATCGAAAAAAAGTATAATTTGAACATATTTTAAAATAATTATTACAATACCATAAGTACTTTTTTTTAACTATTCAATGAGATATTGAATGAACTCAACAAAGAAATATAAACTGTGAAAGACTATAGAAGCATTTATTTGAAATAAGTAACATACAAATGAAAGAGTATGATTAATAACTGGGACTTATTGTGCTTTTTTATGTTGTAATAAAGATGGTAAACGATTTTGAATAAGTTGTAAAATATCAACTTCTTCGTAATAAATTATTGTTAATGTGATGAATAAGAACCCGAATGTAATTGTACCATGCAATATCATCCACAGAATGCCAAAAGAACAACAGAAAAAGTACTAGAAAGAATTAAAGGAATAAAAAAAATAAGGAAATTAAATTAAAATTGACCGAGTATAACAGAAGACAGAGATTTCATTGAAACCATGAATCGATCAATATCAGGCCATCATTGAAAACCTGAAAGCACTGAATAACCAATTCTTCCTAGTATCGTACTTTAAACAGTGCACAAACAGGATTCAGTAGATGGAAATTAAACCCAGAACCATCGATCTCGCGAGAACGCTTATCCTCTAGACCACTGACGTGGTATTCAACGGTGTTAATGTTTGACTTAGTGCTTCCATGTTTTCAATGGTGGTCTAGCATTGATCGGTTTATGATTTCAACGAAACTCAACAATCTTCACGATCATATTCACACAAATAGACTGGAAGTTTGAAAACAGTGTCGATTAGTAAGAATGTGTAAGAGCAGGGTTTGAATGGAATGACACCTTGGTAACTGGTTGCAACAGACGACCTCTGCTTTAAACTTGAGAACAGCATTATGGGATTAGACACAGTAGTGGGCAATAGTGATATGTCGGTTAGTATGGTAACGAATCCACGTCGATTGAGGTGGTTGGGATGTGTATGTAAAGCTAGTTGACATAATGGTAGGGTCCCCGAATGCCCTGGTATGGTCGAGTTAGCTCTCCCTCTCGAAATGCTCTCACATGGCGGCGTGCATGCAACCACTTCCAGGGAAGTCCTACTCACGACGAGGGTGTTGTTTACGGAATTGAGGGGACGAAAAGCGAATGTCCGGCGCTATAACCAGGTTGGTTTTGGATACGGATAGTCCACCTAAGGGAGTGGGAAAATCCTGATTCCAAACCAATGGTGCACATGAGCTCCAGGATCCTAAGGAAATAAGTGGAGTATGAACCTGTTGTTGGTCATCGGCTACTATGGAACTGCATCTCCTTACGTTGCTCCACTGCCTTGTAGATTAGATCTTTAGGTCAAAGTCTCGGGGTGTGGTCCTCTAAGAAAACTACCTGCTTCGGTTTGAGCATCCCGGCAGTACCCTAGCCCTTACACAAATCGAATGATTAATGTTGCGCATAAGTATTTGGTGCCTTCTTGTACCAATGTTTATGTGTTTAATAAAATGATAGAAATTAGAGTATGTTGGAATAAAGCTATGGGTAGCCAAAGCAAAACGTGGTATCATTCCATCAAGTCATTAACTGTTGAAGTTAGCCATGTCGGTAGATGCAAACTACCTGGTTGGAGTTGACACCATAACCGTGACCAGTGATTGGACACATTGGGTGAAATCCATAGAAATCGGTCATAATGGTGTAAATGCATTCACTAATTGTCTACCATAGAACCTGAATTTCACGATCATAATATTTTTTTTCTAAAAATTTATTCCACTTGAATTACATTCTGTTTAATCTTTTCTTACTATTACTAATACTACCTTTGTAGCTTTGGTTTTCATCTTGGTAATTTTACATATTGATCTGAGTTGAAATATAAACAAAAACCAAAGAGTAATAGACAAAGATCATGATTAATAAAGTCCAAATATACTTAGAGTGAAACATTTGCTATTCGATATTCTTCACACTGTATCAAAAAACTGATTAGAGTTAGAAGTGTACCATTGAACGCCAATTCAATGGTTGTAATGATTAGGCTTTCTTCATGATACACAACAGTTCTGAGTTCGATCCCTGATGGAGGCGATATATACGCAGTACATAGGAGTCCCATACTGGGAAGAAACAATTGTCCACTCATTATTTCTCAATGATACCTCAATAATACAAATAGAAGTAAAAGAAAGAAAAAAAACACAAACAACTATAATCTTACTTGTGAAATTAAAGTACATATAAGTGAAATAGATAGAATGCACATTTCACTATATGATGGAAACATTAATGATAATAATGAAATATTTGAGAATTTTTCCATTTTACAGTTTGATAACACAACGAAAGTCGATGATGTATCACTACTACTGCAGCTGCTATCATCATCCAAGTTGTTTTGTTTTTCAATATACGTTGGTTCATCAATTTTTGCCAAAAATTTGTTAATGTAATAAACACTGTCAAATGAATAATCATCAAAAAAGAAACAGAATCAATATTAATAGCGAAACAAAAGGGTATACAGTGAAGAACTATATATATATATATATATATATATATATATATATATCAATTTAAATAGTTTTAGTTCACCTGATCAAAAACAATGGTCTACGAAAGATACTTAATATCCGTTGGTCGTATATCATCAGCAACGACCCATTGAGGCAAAAAGCAAACCAACTTCCAGCTAAAGAGAAAATTAGGAAAAGACGCTGGATGTGGATAGGACAAATATTGCAGAAACTAACAAACTATATCATGAAGAAAGCTCTAACTTGGAATCGTGAAAGTAAAAAGAAAAGAGGAAGACCAAGGAACACATTGCGTCGAGAGGCAGACACCAAATGAATGAATAGCAATTACAAACAACTGGAAATGATTACCCAGGACAGAGTTCAGTGAAGAATCCACGAGGGGTAACAGGTCATCAAAATATCTTTAGCTGGACAACCATTAAACACTAGAATGTATTGGAAAAGTTTTTCAACTTAATAATATGGAACTCTTCAATAGTGTAATCACTTACAATATGAATGATTCAACTTGTATACCAATAATATACGTTTATGTACTCTGCTTTGCATTGCATCATTAGTATATGAAAATCGATTATATCATATGGTTCCCTATAATTAATCAAGGACTGAATTCATACCATTGAGGATTGCCAGTAAGTGCATTACCATTAGATCAGTGACTTGATATTCATTCGTCCATAATTCCATGTTCAGGTAATTGTAGACAATGTGTAACCAGCATCTAATGTGTTTTGTGACGATTATCTCATATCCTATAAACCTCTATAAATTTTTAGCGGGTGAAAAACCTCACTTTATCTGCTTCTAGTTTCGATTTCCAGATTGTGTCAATTGTTGATTTATATGTATTCCTTTCCTTATAAAATGTAGGCGCATTTTTTGAGGTTGCTAGATCGTCAACTCACTTTTTATTTTGTACTCCTGTCTTACAGTTCTTATCACTCAAACTATTCTGTATGCTCCTTTAATACATACATTACCTTCTGCATAGATACGAGTTGCTGCAAATTCATAATCTAGATTAAATTTATATATTTATTTGAACACATAAACATTGGTACAAGAAGGCACCAAATACTTATGCGCAACATTAATCATTCGATTTGTGTAAGGGCTAGGGTACTGCCGGGATGCTCAAACCGAAGCAGGTAGTTTTCTTAGAGGACCACACCCCGAGACTTTGACCTAAAGATCTAATCTACAAGGCAGTGGAGCAACGTAAGGAGATGCAGTTCCATAGTAGCCGATGACCAACAACAGGTTCATACTCCACTTATTTCCTTAGGATCCTGGAGCTCATGTGCACCATTGGTTTGGAATCAGGATTTTCCCACTCCCTTAGGTGGACTATCCGTATCCAAAACCAACCTGGTTATAGCGCCGGACATTCGCTTTTCGTCCCCTCAATTCCGTAAACAACACCCTCGTCGTGAGTAGGACTTCCCTGGAAGTGGTTGCATGCACGCCGCCATGTGAGAGCAGAGACTAAAAATAATTTCATAATAAACACTTTAACAACACACAATATTAATTTTCTTACCTATATAAAATACGAGTAATCATATTAATACAATTGGCCAATACAAAACCGTATACATTGAATATTGGGACAAAAAACCAATTCGCGCCGAGAAATATTATAGAAAATATTATTAAACGTTGATTGTGACGTAAAACTTCATCCTGTGAAATAAATAAAGTGGTAATTATTAAATAAACTGATAAGCCTTCCTACTGATACGCCTAAACTGTCTTCTTAGCCGGTTTCTATAACCTCATCTACTTCTACATGTCAACTGGAACATTAGAAATAAGGTGTGAACTACAAATAAAAGCTTTACTTCAAACTTAGCTTATTCACAGAAAAAAGCGAAGGTATTTATAGAGTTGCACACGACCTTGGGTCTGCGGAACCATACCAAATGTAGCAGCAGTGTATGGGAATATTCAATCCATACTGTGATATGTAATAATGTATTTTGTATACGGCTCTGTCATGAGTATTCAAAGCTGATTAGATAAGACGTTCCATGAAGTTTCTGTGCCTCTAAAGACTTTGACGAGGAATATTTTGGAACTCTCCGAAAATCAAATCGATGAATGACAAGCTGTAAGTCGTTTATTAATTGACGGTAAGTTGGAGATTGGTTTCATTTGTAAGTTGTATTTATCACAGACTGATCTCATTCGGAATAAAAACGAAAACCAGGGAGCGTTGGATCGTTGTCTCGTCCCAGTGTGAACTCTTCAGTATTGCGCACTGATGACATTTCTAGGGATCGAAACGAACCTGCACATCTCTTGGCAAATGCATAGCCATTAGAACCAACTTTTGTTGGAGTTGTTAAATAATCTCCTGTGAAGCCACCTACACGATTTATATGATTGAAATACGTGTATGGACGAGTAGCTTTAAACAACTAACATTGGTTTAGCGAAATGTTACGATAAACAAATACCAAATTGACCAGATTAAATTTTGCTACTACGAAAACTGAGTCGGTAAAAGAACAGTGGTTCAATGGTCGTACCTTCCAACTTTATGCCGTTAATTTGCAAGTTCGTAGCCCTCCATATACTTAGGTCTAGGTAACCGGGTAGTATCACTATCCTTCATACATCAAATTTGGCTCAAAGCCAAGTACATGAATCCATACCTGGTAAATAAGTTGAGATAGATAAAACAAAAAAGGGACTTGATTAGTAGTAGCTGTTGCCCAATAGTGATTAATGACTTCCTTAAACGACAACGGGTTTGGGTTTTAGCCTCCTATAGTCGTTTCTTTCAACCTAATCTTATGTCAGCTAACATTGTGCATCAGTGGTGATTGGGTAAGTATACGTCATGGATATACAGCAGCCATTACCTATCGAGCTTGAAATTCAGTAGTTCGAAGAGAAAGTCGTTTCAATGATTTGAGCCAAAAATTTGTTAACAGAACAGAGTGAACTGTATTAATACGTTTCTTTTTTCAAATAAGAACGATATAATAAAACATGCGAAACTTACTGTTGATATTGCGGAATTCAACAGCGCTTCAGTTGAACCATTCCATGCAAGTAACAAAACATAAGCAGAATATAACTGTAATAAATTAACCGCTACATAATTATCAGCTAATCTATGCCCAGCGTAAATCATTAATAATAAACGAGAATTAGCTTGAGCAAAAGTTACACCAATCCAAGCTATAAGACTTGAAATGCGTAAAGCTGTTTTAAGCATACGAAATGCATCTATAAGTAATTTCTGCAAATTAGAGAGAACAAGACAAATCAATTAAAATTTATAGCTATGGATAAGTCTAACCAACAAGTAGATTCCAGTTAGAGCTCTATCAACTTCGGTTCAGGCAAATTGGGTTAATAAGCCCTACTCATCAGTTTAGAAACTTGGTTTAAAATACATCACCCAAAACTTGTACATACAGACATGTGGTACATTAGTAAATTTGATGATCACAGATATCACATACGTTATGTTTTATTCTTAATTTTAAAAATAGTATAACACAATATTGAATAACAATAATATGTATCACAGAAATTATCATAATGCTCAGATTATGAAAACTCTTTTCGGTTACCATACTAGGTAACTTGAAAAGATACATAAATACAATTGACTGATCTCTGAGTGGTGGTTAGAGTCATGTTTCTTTAGTCCTCCTTCAGGGTGGATTAAATCCTATCGACAAAGTTCCAATATAGTCATTAGTGTAAATTACTCGACACCGAGTGCACTAACTTAGAATGTTCAGTGTTTGGATGTAGTCGGCAAGAAATACTACTAAATCTAGCATTTTGGCATGATAGCCGATATGATCAAGACACTAACACTAAGCTCGTAATCCTAATTTCTCAGGCTAATTCATACCCCCTATCTGGAATCCTATAATTCGTTGACGTTTTCAAGGTTACTTTAGTATCGCTCAAAGGTCATCCATAAATAAAAGTTTCAACTGATTAAAAATCCTATAGTCTATAAATTTTCTAAATTCATATAGGTCGCGACAAAAATCATCTTCAAGATTTAAAATTATCTCTACATATTGCATTTTTCTACCGTCTAGTATCACTTAACTAGAAAAAAACAATTTCTATTCCAACAAAACCGAACAACAAAGATACAGAAGTAAACGTATTCGAGGATCTTCCAGTATGTTATCCATTTGCCTACTAGTGATGATTGGTGGGAAATGTACCAATCGCCATAATCGAAGTTTAGCCTGAACTGAATATGAAATGGCTAGGACTCTATCCGGTCAACATCAAAACACTGCATCGCTTTCCAATTAACGATTGAACGAAATACACGTATTCGAAATCCATTCTCGTATTTGACTGATTTAATTCTGTTATACACTAGCGCAATTTAAGTCGATGATTGTATACGCGGATAGGCGGTATGTATATTTCAATAACAATCATTCATATGATCTAAGTGAAGTCAGATATAGGGCTATTAAAATCCATACCTTTTACCTTGGTCAGCATCTGACCTAACTTAGTTAATAACCATTTTTAGGACATGGTGAAGTAATCTGATCAATGTTCATTTTTATAGCTTAAACTCATTCACACATAATAATAATTGTTATTATTATTATTATTATTATTATTATTATTATCACTATTGTCACCGTTATTGTTGTAACAATTGAGAACACTTTTGGAAAATTATTTAGCATTCATTCCCATTTACTAATTCGTATCCAATTCATATTATTCTACATAGTAAGGATTCAATTAACCGTCATAAAACATACACATTATGGATGAGAACTTACTTTGTCTTGTTTATTTGGAGAGATATCTCTTTGAATACACTGACTAAACATAAAATGACAACTTTCTTCCAATGGTAAGAAAAGTAGACGAGCCGCTAAAGAGCCCAAATTATTGACAAGATCATATATACCTAGAGAGGAGAAGAAAATCGACATAGTTTAGGGAAAGTAACGCAGCCCAAATCATCATTACTGAAAATTTAGGATCTTTGCTTCATTGAGAATCAAAACAACATGTAAACAATCAGTATGTCATAACTCTTTGTATTTATCAATTTACATACACACGTGAACACATAGACATAGGGAGGAGAAATCGTGATTCGTATGTAAAGATGATTCAATACACACACATGGTCACCGAAACAAATGAACTCCAATAGTCTAATGAGATCATATGATGAATAAACATCTCCCTCTATTGTGAACATTCAAATAACTTTGATTTGCCCACCTATACCGATAATGTTGGTTTGATATTCAATGCGGTATAACTCACATAGTTTTCCTGATTATTTATCTATAATCAATGAAGTGTAGTTCAAAATATCATGGTAAGATAGTTATTTTATTTTATTTTAACACATAAATATTGGTACAAGGAGGCACCAAATACATATGCGCCACACATATCTCATTTAATATGTGTGAGGGCTGTCATACTGCTCGGGTGCCAAAACGGAAGCAGGTGGTTTTTTAGGGGGCCACACCCCGAGCCTTTGACCTGAAGATCTGATCCACAAGGCAGTGGAGCATCGTAAGGAGATGCAGTCCCATGGTAGCCGGTGACCAACGATTGGTTCATATGCCATTTGTTCCCGCAGGATAGTGGAGCCCATGTGCACCATTGGTTTGGGATCCGGTTAAAGCGCCGGACATTCGCTTTTCGTCCTCTCATTTTCGTAAACAACACCCGTGGTGCGAGAAGGCAGTGAGTAGGACTTCCCTGTCAGAGGCTATATACGCGTGGCCATGTGAGAGTATTTCGAGAGGGAGGGCGAACCCTCCCCACTCTCGGCCGTACCAGGGCGTTTGGGGGCAAGTTACATTATTTTAACATTTGTCAACTACACTATCTCTCTATGGTACTTTGTAGATTGAAATGAACAAATTCTACTGACTTTCATCAACAATTCGAATGCATTGACTACTTTAATCTTCCGAATGATGTTTAGGACTGTACTTGATCAGTTTTTTTAGCATTTCCGCATCATGTAAGGATTTCCTCGATATTGCCGTAAGTCACAAGCATTACAAGCAGAGTTGGATGGTGAACGGCACTGGGCTCGAGTCCCAGGTTGAGCATCAACTCTGGGATGCAGGTACATCCAACTGACGAATCTCAAATACAACGAAATGAGTGTCAAAGATTCCACTGCTAGCCACCATCCATCTCACCTTAGAAGGAAGATAGATGTTGATCATCTACTCTTATTGCATCATTTTATTTTATTTGTTTCCGTAGCCATTTAGTTACATGTTCAAACACTCTAATTCACAAATGATGATTACTCCTCTCTATGTATCCATGGCCACACAAAGATATAAAATTAAAAAACACAGTGGGATATGACGTCCACGTTCATATCTCACACGGAATCGCCTCGAGCAAAAACGACCCATTATAATGCTGATCGTAATACTATTTAAAATTGTGTTCATTTAAGTCTGTTATTGATTTGCACCGAAGAACGGTTTTATACTACGTCCCAAAACGTTGTAAATTTTAAGTCTTAATCATTAGATTAGTCAGAATAGGAGTATTGAGCCCTACTAACCAAAAGCTAAATTGTCTAATTATTGGACACTAATGGTTCAATAAAATTTGTGCGAACCATCGATAAAATAATTCCAAAATAAAGGACACATATATGTATCCTATACAAATTAAAATTACTACTTACCCTGATCAGTGAAACTTATCAAATGAAACGCACTTATTAGATATCTTTCACCTGAATAGACCAACAAAAGAAGTTGAAATCAACGTGAGTTTAGCATCAAAGAAAGTTGGATTTTTATTTTGCCTAATTAAAACAATTAATTAGCATATTTGATGAAAATAGTTCTATAAATATAAAGTTAGAACGAAAGAAAACAGTTCAGTAATTATTAAACTGATCCAGAGATAATGGATTTTCAAATCAACAAGACAAGAATTTAATTTCAATGTTGAAACTTAATGTCCATACGTTAAACAATGACTTACTATTTACAATTGACTGATCACTAAGTATGTTAGGTCCTTCTTCATGACTTACGATATTTTTATTGTTATGCTTAATTGTGCTAATCATCTATAAAAACAGAAGCAGACCAAGTGGGTTCAAATACGTTTGATTTATTGACCGGAGGGTGAAACTCAAGTATTTTAACAACTAAAATATCACTCTACCAACAAGTTGAGATTTGGATTGATCTAAGTTGAACATTAATGTCGTTGGATACCGACTCAGTGATTTAGAGCTTAAGCGTTTGCAGGAGAAATCAGGGGTCCCGAGTTCGATTCACTCGCGTGGAGTCTTGGATGCGCAATGACGAGGAGTCCCATATTAGGACGAGACGGTCGTCTAGTGTTTCTAGATTTATATGGTGTTCTAACTCAGATTAATTCATAAATTCAATGAGATTTAACAATCTTTAAAACCCTATACTGATAAAGTTGAGACTTGATCTGAAAAACGGACAAATATATCCAACTCTTATTTCGTATTTATAATAACTAAGTAGTGTATAGCCTGTTACATGCATCTGTACATAGGTGATTTATGTTAGCTTTATGAATGCTAATAGCCTCAAAATGATCTGGTACAGATGAGGGTGGAGAGAGTTCTTTTTCCACCTCGAAATGCTTCATGTGAACGAGGATTTATAGTTCCTGTCACGTAGGTTCTGCTCTACTCACTGTCTTCACGTAGTAATCGGTGCTTTGATGAAAGTGAGAAGATGAAGAGTGGATGTCAGGAGCTTAAACCAGGTTAATGGGTAGGGATAGTTTAAGTAGAGGAGTTGAAAAACCCTGATTACAAACCGGTGGGGTACATACATATTTTGGTCATTGCTACCGAGGGACCGCATCATCTGACGTCACTCTAGTGTCTTGTGAATCAAGCCTCAAGATAATAGGATCGGGGAGTAGTCCCTTCAAGTAAAATGCCTCCTTTGGTTCGGGAAACCGAGTAGTACCACAGCCAACTGACAAATATGTTGCGACCTCGAAAAAAACTGTCTAAGGAACTTTAAATTACATCAACGTTAACACCTCTTACTTCATATTAAACATACAAAATATTTGCATACCTTCTGTTAAGAGTTGTTTCAGTATACACTGACCAAAAAAGTTCTTTACAAGTTGTAGGCCTTGTCGATCGATAGAATACTTTCATGGTGTCAAAAATATTAAAAAAATGTAATTAGTTACATTTTGTAAGTAATTAACATTAACATAGATAGTTTTGATAGCATGAATCGAAGAGAAACGATAGTGACTTTTTTAAATTCTAAAATTAATCTAGAAACAAATTCAAGTACTGTTAAGTACTACTATGACGTTGAGATGGTGGAGAAGATTTGTAGCTCAGGTGGATGATTTTGATGGAGTTTTGTTCTCTGAGCTGGATGGTTTGGTCGTGGAGCTTTCATCGTTCTTCTGAACGACATCATCAGCACAAACTTCAGATAGAAGTGAAGTGTTCGAATTTCTCGATATGCGTTTCACAACTTGTTCTGTACACCTCGGTGTTGATTGGTTCTTATTGACCTTAAATTTGTCATTGTTTACTTTTTTGTTTTTGTTGTGTCTCCTATTGGTTTGATTCTTGTTCCTATATTTGTGCATAATTTTTTTGATTGGTTGATAAATTGGATCGATTTCAATATGTTTGTTGATTGCTGATTGATCTGAGTGCCAGGCTTCTAAAAATTCTCTTGTGTTTTTGGAATTTCCTCTGTCCAAGAATTCCTCATTTTTCCAATCGAATGTGTGTCCGCAGTTGTCCACGTGTATTGATATAAGTGAGGAGATATCGTGCCGTTTGACTGCTAATTGATGTTCATGTAGGCGAAGGTGAAGGGGGTGTCCGCTTTGTCCGATGTAGTGAAGAGTAAATGATTTTGTCGAGAAGAAAGTTCTTTCACTGAATTTTCTTCATTTGCCTAGATAATATAAACGCACAAATAAAAACTAACCCGAAAATAACTTGGTAAAATATCTTTTAACGAAGAGATTCCTGTGATTCCTTTAAGTTTCAATTCGTTATTTGATGTTGAACGTGGTATGCCATATTGAAAATACAATAAGTAACTTATGAACAATGTTGAACCATGAAGAAGCTAAAAAAATCAAAACAGAAAATGATGGATTGAAAAGACACCAGAATATCCTTGTCTACGGTTCATATACAAGTAAACATTTTTACTACATTAAACAAGACTCTTGGGTATTGCGCATCCACAATTCTCGTCACGAGATCTGAAGGTCCTGAGTTCGATCCCGGGTGTGGTCGAGGAGTCCCCATATCCTACAACAAAACAGCAATCACGTGTTTTCTGATTTGTAATGTTTGTCTAACCAAGACCAACCCATGATGCAGGCTAAAAAGTCCAACGATATTTACAAACTTTAATACTAATACTAGCTATAATTGTCTTCGAAATAAATAGACAGTACACAAATATACACCCAGATAGAGGTAAATATTGTAATCATATATAGTCTGTTCTATAAACAAATGAACTGAGGCTATAAACACGTTATTTTACAAAGTTTCAAGTACATCAATCAAAATACTGTCCATGTTGTGAAACAATATAATTATTCCATTTCCTTTTTTATGCTTAGAAACATCCATGGGAAACAAGGAAAAATGCTGGCCAGAAATTCATAAAATGTCCCTGCCGAATGTAGAGGTTAGCTAACATACAAAACCATACATGAATATTTAAATGCTTGGAAGTCTTTATAAACAAAGTACAGTTTATTGTTTATTCTACAATGCGATTGATTGTTTAATCAATTGTATAACCGATAATTGTAATAGTTCAGTTCGCATATCAATTTCAGCGACCATGCAACTGAAATCACAACGATCCTCTTGATTAAAATAAATGACGTTCTGATGATCGCATGAATGTCTAAATGTAAAAACGAAAAATTTTATATACACTGCGGTGCATGCTACTTATGCTGACAGATGTAATTAGTATGTAGAAGCAATTGGTTTTCCCCTCACCTGAGTTCTCATTTATTACAATACAACTAAATAACATGATATCTGTTGTTACATAAAACTTACTTGAGGTATACTAAGTGAATAAATGGCATATTGGGATGGTACAGTAAATATTGCAAATATTATTCCAATTGAACGAGCAGTATTAGCAAAAGCTTCAATGAAAATTCTTGCACGAACTTCATGTGATAATTGACAAATAAGCCATAGTGGTTCAGTAGCTAATTCAAAAAGACCAGATAAAGCGTATATCATGATACAGAGAATGTAACGCTGTTCAATAATTGACGATGTTAAATTTAATTCAGAATTTGATTCATTAATTAGATTACTTGGAGATGGTAAGATGAAAATCCACACAAAACTCAATAGTATTACAATGATGAAACCAATAGGAAGTCTAAAATTTTGAAATTATTTATTATAATAGAATTAAACTTACACTAGCCAAGCAAGATTCAAAAGTCCATAAAATTGTTCTTTATATTGTAAACTATACTGAACTAAAGTATGACAATCTTGATTAATTTCATGCTTACAACTTCTAATAAACTGAGAAACATCAATAAAATCTTCATTTATAGAATCAATTATTGTAGTAACATTTGCATTTGACAATGATTCAGTTGATTTTCTGTTATTATTATTATTATTATTATTATTATTATTATTATCGTTACTATTGACTACTTGACCACCACGACTAAGACATGCACGACGAAATGCTTCTCTTGAAGTAAATATTAATGTTGAATAAAATAAACCAAGTCGTACATTGACTAAGCCTAAACTAGCTGTATCCAAATAACGATAAGAGAGACTATTCAATAAAAATGTCATGATATGTAAAATAATTTGAAGTAGAAATGTATAACCAATTAAAGTAAATCCAGTATTGAGAAATTCAGAATCATTATGATTAGATGTTTTATTGTTGTTCTTAGATGGATTCAAGGAAACTTCATCGCTGAAAAATAAAATTTCAAATCAATGTAATAATTAAAATTTAAATAATAGACAATTATTTATATTACGATGATTAGTAGTCATAACAACAAGAAAATATAAAATCAAATAGGTAAGTTCAAAAGGTAAGCTGAAAATCGTTTGCAATGGCACAGGTGCATCCACTCTTTGTGTTCTCCTGAATTCTAATATTCTGAATTCTTCATATCCCTTTCTTTTTTCTCTTTCTAAATTTATTTCATTAGATTGTACTCCTTGAATAACATCATCAAACCCTAATCTTTCCGATTCAATGTTTATACTTTTACTACCTCTACCACTATGGGATTTGAATCGATAACTGCATCTATGTACTAATGTGGTATGACAACTCGAACTGATGCACGTACGTATGACGTTCTGTGTTGTTATTGACTGACTGAGGTTCAATGAATTGACTTTGAATGTAGAGTATTAGTGCTCAAGGCTATTGGGTTATTTTCATGATATTGATTTTTCCAAGAATCAACACATAACTTTCAACAAATGTCCAACATATGTGGATGTGTAGAACATTTTAGGCTAATATGAACGGTTATAGAATAGATGATTAAGTGAATAAAAAGCACTCAGCTCTTAATCAATAAGTTGATTCATCTAATTTAAATTTAATAGCTCGGTATTATCAATAGCTCATATATTCAACACGTGCCCTAAAACCGAGTATATAAGAATGTACCTGAGAAATGACTTGAAAAATTTTCTATCATTCTCTATAAGAACAAAACAAAGCAAACCATTGGAATTGTATCTGTTCACTTAGCCGATTACATTGCTGAGAGCGTCATTCACCATACTGTCTTATGTAATATATTTGAATGTTTATTTCATTATCTGGTTACGAGTTAGTCCATAATTGTGTGAATCCTTAACACCTTAATGGTTGCGCTGTACCATATATTCACAAATAATAAAGGATTAACAGAATAGAATGTTTATCCAAATTTATGATACCATCATTCAAACTATTATTAATATTTTTGTGGCCAAACTAGAAAATGTACCATTAAAAGGCATCCTAAATAAGCTAGATTATGATTGTCGATACATAGATGACATACTAATCGTGTGTGACGAAACTATTGACAACCAAGAGATGTTGGACTGTTTCAATAACGTCCACCGAGGTGAATAAAGGTTAAGCCTTCACCACCAAACGGAAGGCCCTGGGTTAGATTCACGGTAATATCATGGATGGGTACTCTTTAGGAGTTCTATACTACAACCAAACAGCTAACCAGCATTTCCTCGCTTTCAACGGTAGTTCAACAAAAACCAGTTCGAGATGTAAACTGTGAAAGTTGTAATTTGTCACATCTATCTTAAAATGTAATGAGTTTTTACTTCAGATATGTGAGATCAATAACTGCTTTTAATTATTTAACTATATATATAGCTAATGCAGCTGTGAGAAATTCATTCTAATACTGAACTTTCAATGGTTAAGTCATGTATTCAATATGATTAGCCAACTGCCCAGATTTGATAACCGATTGATGTCATGACTCCTAATCACAAAATTTACGACCTGTAACAGTTTGGTACATAAGACTATGTACGGTAGTAGAAGGCTCGAACTTATTAAATAATAATATCAACAGGACAACTCCATCTTTAACCCAACTATTTATGATTTCTAGTGACCTTCGATGCATACATAAACAAAAATACCATTGATTACATCCTCTGCACAGAAAACAATATTTAAATCAAAATATTAGCCATTTATAATGATCGGTTACATGACAAATAATAATTTATTGAAAGAAGCCATAACAAAACAAAAAGTCTACATAGAAACTACTTGCATATATATATAAACAAAATTAAAACTCACAGATCATAAGGAGTTACACTATCTCTTTGAGAGGACATTCCAACAGTAATAATAACAATTCTGAAATATAAAATGAGTTTAAATGCAAAAAAAACAAGCACATATATAAAAGAAACAATGGAAAACATAAGTTCTATATGAATGAAAAGACAATTTTATACACATAATTCCCCATATCATTTCGAAATGACAATTTTTTCCTCAGCAGAATATTGATAGTAATTGAAATAAAAGAAATAAGAATAAATTCACATGGACATAAGAATCCTATATTCATTTAATATTTATAAGTAGTATATATTATGAAAATGATTGTTTATTTGGATTTCGATGATGATGATGTTGTTGTTGTTGTTGCTGTACAAATATGTGATATACTTGAAATAGGTAAACGTCCTTCTACCTCTTCTTGATACTTGAGAATAGTTTCTAAAATATGAATATATTTTATACTGAGGCGTAGAATTTCATGTTTGCTTAATTTTTTATCCGGTGGATGTGTAGGTAGGATATATCTGAGCTCTGCAAATGCTTGATTAACACTACGCTGACGTTGACGTTCACGACTATCTACGAATGAGAAATCATGTCTATCAGAGAATGAATCCATTAGTAATTTTTAAGAATGAGTAGACAGATGTGTTGGTATATATATCATAATGTAAAACGGAGGCGAACTTTCTATTCCGTTCTCCAATAACAAACATCAAAAATATTACAAAGGTTTAAAGTGAACAATATCAGATGTGAATGACTCGATATTATAATTAACAATTAACCAATAGAAGGATAGATTAACGACAGAAAAAATAGTGGAGAAGTAGGAAAGTGAATATTAATGATTGAAAAGAAAAGTCTATGATCACTTTTGATAAACAAGAGTTGAAAAGAGAATTTGGTGTGTGTGTGTGTGTGTGTGCGAGAGGGAGGGAGAAAGACAGTGAAACAAGAAATACAACAATTGATGATGATTACGATTATTATTATTATTCGCATAGGAATAATTAATTTTATTTTCAATTTTTATCTGATTAACTGTATTTCAGTGATAAATAGCTAAGAAAATTATTCAAGAGGAAAGAATGATTTAACGACTAATACTAATCACTTCTATCAAGCTTTATCAGTTTATATAATTCAAGAAATTTAGAAGATAAGGCTATAAATCACAGGAGACATTCCTAGTATAAGTATAAAAATCATATCTCACATATATAAGTGAATTGATATATATAGTGTGTATTTGTGTGTGTAGACCGGTGGCTTAGTGGTTAAGGCATTCAACCACCAGTCAATATGTCGTGAGTTTCAACCTTCATCCATCTACTTGAGTTTAGGCAACCGAATAGTATCATCAGTCTTTACACTTCGAGGGTAGTTCATACCTAAGTATCTGGTGAAAAGATTATTCATATAAATAACGAATAAGATCTTTTAAGCGTGTTTGTATGGGACGTTTATTAAAAATGACAGGGGATCTAGTCATTATATCATAAAAGTGCAGGACTATAAAAAGTCGAATAAGCTACTAATTAAAGAACATTTAGGTATCGTAAATTTTGGATCTCATCACTTCAGCTTACATAAAAAGATAATGGAAATATGAAGCACATATAAGACTGAAAGTGAATTCAGACGATGATTTTTCAATAAAATGATAGAGTGCAGTTTAAATTTTAACTGTAAGCTATTAGCACTGATGTCTAACCAAAGGTACATTATAATGCACATAATTAATATCGGTAGACACCAATAGCAACAATTACACTAAAGATACTTGAATAACGCGAAGAAATAAATGAGATGTCTTTGGGTTGAAGACTCGATTTCGTTCTAATGTAAGCAAACAATAGACACTTAAAAGACAAATATTTTTAATATTCATTAAAATAAGCCAATATCAGAGATAAAACCTGTCTCTCATGAAACAAAGAATTCTAAAGAGAATGCTTTATTCAAATAAAGAAAATGAATCAATCTTTAATGGAATGTGAAACTGAACCGGGAACTTGATTATGCAATACTGCGACAAATTTCTATTTAACATGCATTCAAACAGTAAGTATTTAGTATATTTTATAAATTCTATTAACAATCAGTAGTTCCCATTTATTGTCGGTCACAAAACGTTTTTACCAGTTCAACTGCTACAACTATTTAACACCAACCATGCATGAATTATGACATTCATCCCTCGTTTATATCAAAGAACAGATAAAGAGGAAACTATGTTAACAAATATGACATTTCCTATTAAACTTTTCGATGTATAACAACCCAATAAATTGTAAGAATCCTATCACAGTATTTGAGTGCATAAAACTAGTATTCATAATCATTCAATCTAAAATGATTGAAAACAGTAATGTTAATTACTATATTTATAGTTAGGAAAAAGGTGGCCCAGACGTCTGGATAGGTCAGCTTGGAATCTAAGTTCATTAAACTAGATAACTGACGTAACTAATGTTTGAACAATTGTCTAGTACACTTTTAATGAGAATTGCTGACACCGATCAGCAAAGCAATAGAGACTAGGAAGTACGGAATAGCTGTTTCGTTTTTGCTCGAGAGCATTCACCGATGTACCATTACTAGTAGATACGAAGTTTAACTCGATTGCTAGTAAACTACTGTTTAGTCAGCGGTTCGGGATCTAACGGTCAAATTTCAAATAGTCAATTTGAAATAACGCGCAATCCTTATCGATTTGAGTGACATCAGTGGCTTCTTATTTTTAATGGCTTTCCAGCTGATATCAAACTGAGATCAGAATTACCTTTAGGCACGTGTTTGCATCACAAGTGATTCTTGAAGAAACGGGTACTAGGTAAGGATGGCAAATCAATTGATGAAGTGGTGAAACTTAATCAGTTGAGATAGCTGAGACATGTGTTACGTATGCCTAACCACCGACTGCCTCGACGTACTATGTTTTATGGTGTAGCAGTAGGTTGGAAGAAAGCTAGGGGCGGCAAGACCAAAACATGGCACAAATCCATGAAGTCACTGACAAGTGAACTGAGGTATGTTGGTAGGTGTAGACTACCTGGTTGGGGACCGCGAGACGATAGCAACCGATGGTTAGAGACATTGAATGACATGGTTCAAAATCGTTTGCAATGGCACAGGTGCATCCACTCTTTGCGTTCTCCTGAATTCTAATATTCTGAATTATTCATGTCCTTTATTTTCTTTCCAAATCTATTCCACTGGATTATACTCTTTAAACAATATCTTCAAACCCTAATGTTCCCGATTACTACTTATACTTTCACCACCTCTACCACTACGGGATTTGAATCGATAACTGCATCTCTGTGCTAATTTGGTATGGCAACTCGAACTGATGTACGTACGTACGAAGTTCCACGTTGCTACTGACTGATACACAACCCTTCATTATATGTGGCCTGTTTTCTTATTTATAAGCATATGAAATTATACAAACATTTGACAAACAACATATGATTTTTCGAATCTATCTGAACAAATATGCGACGGCCGCGTAGGATAATCACTTGTCAACAACTATTTCTAACATTTTCTCATTATTTTGCTAAAACAAAATAATTCGTTTATTCCTGGTAAGTTTCGTTACACCAATAGACCAAAATTTATACGTGATTTTGCTAGTAATATAGAATTTATTAGGATTAAACCATTTGATACTGTGATATTTTGTTAAGGAGTTATCAGTTCACTACTCAACATCAACTGAGTCAGTCATACGCCACACAGAGCTTGGCACATATATGCATCATTTCAAGTTCCCACACCACACAAACACAGCGGTGTCGCAGTAATACATGCAGTAACAATATTAGTGATGGTAGAAAAGATTAGGTATATGAGATATGATGATAGAGAAAAATATGGATTCATGGAATAAATGAATTCTTTGTGATGATTAAGGAACTTGGGATCTCAAGGAAAAAAGTGGATGTGCTTACGTTACTCCAAATGATTCCGAGCCATCATCCTAAGTCTTTAAACATTGGTTACGATGATCGCGCGGACCTACCTACATATATGTATGGAATGTACACTACATATCGTTTTGAAACTTATATGCATGATAAATTAATTGCATGTTAGGAAAATAGTTTTCTTAATACCTAGTCCGGAACGACAGCGAGATCTATAGTAAAGAATTTTATACAAGGAAACATAACACTCATAAATAATTATAAGCCAATGAAAGTATTAAGGAACTAGCACCGAAAATACAGCACTGTTCAAATGCGAGGAAGTATTTTATCCCGACCAATATCGTGGTTATAAACCTAAATTACTTATGGTAATTAGGTGGAAAACAACTTACTAAGTGTTTACAAATAGCCTTCAGTACTAAAATCTAAAAGCTCGTGACCTTTAACTTAATATATTGCTCAAAATTATAGAATAAATAGTACGCATTCGTACACCATAGTTGGTAATAACAGGCTTTTAACGCATCAATTCATCTCGAAGAACGGATGCTTAATAAATGGTATGTTTTAATAATTGTGATTGATAGATTCGGACAAGGTCTATTGAGGTTTCGAAAACCAGATGATCAAATCCATATTACAACCAGATATAAGAAGCTATCACAACCTATTGACCCTAATGTAGTTCTCCTATACTATCTCTAGAAGTTAAATAAGCTTCATTAACTAAAATCTTTCTTACCTGTATTTTAAACTGAAAACTTTTAAGAGACATCGATCTTGTTTATGTATTGTATGACACATTCCTTCGTTTCCTGATATCTCGACTTCATTCGTGTAGGCAACCAATTAGCATACTATTGTGCCAAAATATATGTTTTGTATAGACAGATAAATGAAAAGGTACTTAAGCCAGTCATTCAAAGAATAAATAACATGAAGCCTGACGATTTAAAAAGTTTTGATGAACTACACATACCTGTCATAGACTCTATCCCAAACAGATTAATATGACGGTTTAAATCATCTATATACCTTGAGTGCAGACAAACAGCTTAATTGCCATATTTGTCATCTTAGTCACTATGAATAGCGCAATCTACAGACAACAGAGTAACGCAGTTTTCCTACAGCTGCAGGTTCACTTTTACAACAGAGAGCTGAGGCAGCCCAGGATAACCGCTTATCTTTGATGAAACATTCATTGATTCGAAGGACGTTTTGTCACCTACTCCTACCTTATTAAATCGTTGACATCACTATCCTCTTAAAGCAGGCAAAACAGGACAAATTCTCGAATTAATTCACACCATTGAGTCCAACCGTTCCGCAAAGTACACTTTTATTTACAACTAACTTGAATTGTTTACTAAGAGGTAGTTGATAACAAGAATTCGAAAGACAACTGCCAAGCAATGAAACTACGAGCACTTACAAATGGATACCGTTCCAATGATATAAGTATCTGATAATAATTTAATATGACAAAATGTTTTGAAACGCATCCAACCAAACCGAACGCCCATAGGAACTATAACATCCACATTACAAGACTAATAACCAATAAAAACACAAATATTACAATGACAGATATTAGTAGATAAATTTATTGAATAATTAACTAAAATAACGGATTATTTTCGCTTGTTTGTTTAAACGTCGTTCTGGCGGTGTCTATGGATCTTTGCAAAGAACTGAGAGGATAATGCAAAAGACCTACTTAAAGACAGTCTATTTGATGCTCCATTTGGGATTACGCTTATTGTCTTCATATACATAAAAACATGAAAATTTCATCTATCCAATCACACTCTTTACATTCTATGATATATGTAAAGTAGATTGTGATGCGGAAATAACTTTCGTGGATTATATCATATCTATCTCCTATTCAGTTTTTTCAAAAAAAGTGAGTACGCATTAGTCTTTAGTTTTTGCTTCTGTTACTTAACGTACACTCACACGTTATATTTAGTGATTCGATGTTATTTGGATTATTAGTTTTGTTTGTTTAGTTCTACGTCTCTAAATAATATATATAATAATTGTTTTGACCTGTGTTCATTATTTTACCAAGTGTGTCCGCGAAAGCCTCATCCTTTCGCTGTTCACTTGTGACACGTACCACTTGCTCAAATGTAGACACCTTAATAATTCCCATACTGATTTTTCTCACGGTTTTTGAACCGATGTGTGATAACCCCGGAGTTGATGTGTCATAGATAAATCTGAATGATAAAATGCGTCAGTACCCAAGTCATCGCCTGTAATATAGGGTGCCGGAATCATATGAATGGAAAAAGTGACACTAATCGCCCCATGTGGAGCTTGGGTTTGTCTTTCACCATGTTATTGGATACCCGTTAAACAGAACTCTGACCTGTAGGTCCAGAGTATCTTACGTAGATAGTTGATCATAAATACCTGTACATTTTGGTGATAGTAGTGGTAGTTTACTGGCCTTTAGATATTTATAATAAGACTAAACATCAGTGTTAAAATTCTTAATCACGGGTGAAAATTCTCTTGAGTGTCAGTTATTCTTCAACTGTAGGAGTGTCCCGCTTGTTTTGGCGATTCGTGGCTTGATATCTGCATCAGGTCCTGCTACTTTGTCTTTTTTGCCAAGGCACGTAAAGGTTTTCGCTTTTGGTCTTCAGTCGTTATTCCATCAAATGTGATTTGGTCAGTGATCATTTTGTTGTATTTCACGATGTTTTTGAGGCCTATTTCTGTAGAAACTGCCGTCACATGGGTTTTACTGAAATATTGATGTCGACAGCTATAAAATGGAGAGAAAAGGTGGGAGTAGATAACCTTATCAGCTATTTTTATCTACGTTGTCTAATGGTTTCTCATCTGGAATATGATGTATAGTGATGAGTTCCATTTAATTGATTGTTGGTCGATGATCCGTAGTGTCGCGATTCGTTCTGTGCACAACCGGACCTTACGAAGTCCAGCCTGTTAATCTAGAAGCTGGACGTCTACTGAATCATTCATACAGTTCAGCAACACTGTTGAAAACTCCCCCTGGTACCGATAGTAGTGTGATTTCTCTGTAGTTCTCACATTTGCTCAGATCTCTCCCTGGTATATTGATGAGATATCCTTCTTCCTAGTCTGTTGGCACTTATTCTTTCTCCCAAATCTTCCAGAATAGAGTGTGAAACATGTTTGCAGTTACTTCTATGTCTGACTTTAATGCATCGGCTAGTATATTGTCAGGTCCTACTGCTTTCCACTCTTGATTTGTCTGATGGCCATCCTAATTTCTTTGGTCGTTGGTGGAGTGACAGCTATAGGAATGTCTGTGTGTTCTGCTTCGATGTTCGGTGGGGCTGGTTTTTCAAGAATTCTTAAAAGTGTTTCACTCACGTTTTCTGCTTTACTTAAATCTCAATGACTATTTTAACTTTGTTCTTTTACTGGTCAGTCAGCTAAACCATAGGACCAGAGACATACATGCATCGGTCTAGGTTGCCACACCTCATTGGCACAACAAGATGAACACCAAATTCATAGAAGCAGTTACTTCAATGGTAGCAATATATAAAAGAAAGATTGCATATAAGGACATCAGTCAGTCAGTCAGTAACAACGTGGAACTTCGTACGTACGTACATCAGTTCGAGTTGCCATACCACATTAGCACAGAGATTCAGTTATCGATTCAAATCCTATAGTGGTAGAGGTAGTGATAGGGAACATTAGGGTTTGAAGATATTGCTTAAAGAGTATAATCCAGTGGAATAGATTTGGAAAGAAAATAAAGGACATGAATAATTCAGAATATTAGAATTCAGGAGAACGCAAAGAGTGGATGCACCTGTGCCATTGCAAACGATTTTGAACCATGTCATTCAATGTCCCTAACCATCGGTTGCTATCGTCTCGCGGTCCCCAACCAGGTAGTCTACACCTACCAACATACCTCAGTTCACTTGTCAGTGACTTCATGGATTTGTGCCATGTTTTGGTCTTGCCGCCCCTAGCTTTCTTCCAACCTACTGCTACACCATAAAACATAGTACGTCGAGGCAGTCGGTGGTTAGGCATACGTAACACATGTCTCAGCTATCTCAACTGATTAAGTTTCACTACTTCATCAATTGATTTGCCATCCTTACCTAGTACCCGTTTCCTAACAACTGAGTTACTTACTCGGTGGTCCCAGGATATACGTACAATGTTTCGAAGACATCTATCGTCGAATACTAGTAACCTACGATTATCCTTTACTCTTACTGGCCATGTTTCACTGCCGTAAAGTAGGACGGAACGAACTGCTGCGCAGTAAACACGTTCTTTGGTTGATAGACGGATATCTCGCCCACGCCACAAATGACGCAAGTTGGCAAAAGCTAGTCGAGCCTTCTGTATCCGTACTGAGATTTCGTCACACACCAAACCACAAGGGCTGATGAGACTTCCGAGATAAGTGAAGCGGTCGACACGCTCAACTACTTCACTCCCTATCACTAGTTCGGGTGTCGACGCAACCCAATCCTGAAGTAACATTTTGCATTTCGAGGGAGAGAATCGCATGCCGAACATGCTTGCATTGTTGCTTAGAGTGGTCAACAGACTCTGCATTCTGTCAGCGTCTTCACCAAATAGAACTATGTCATCGGCATATTCTAAGTCAACAAGTGGATCTCCCGGTAGAAGTTCAACTCCTGGAAATTTAGATGAGGAAAGTGTCATCTCTAAAAGGTCATCAACAACAAAGTTAAACAAGAATGGAGAGAGTGGACAGCCCTGACGAACACCACTTGAGGTAATCAATTCTGATGACAGTTCACCATAAGCTCTCACTCGACCAGTTGTGTTCGAGTAGAGAGCCTTTATAAGGTTAATGTACTTCTTTGGTACTCCTTTCAGAGACAAACACTGCCATGGGACCTCACGATCAACAGAGTCAAATGCCGCCTTAAGGTCGAGAAATACTACAATTGTGGGGCGTCTGAATGTGTGTCTATGTTCTAGGACCCGACGTAGTGTGAATACTTAATCAATACAACCACGTCCAGGTCTAAAACCAGCCTGGTTTTCTCTAGTCTGCTCTTCACGAGCTTTGGTTAGACGATGAAATATTATTGAGGCTAATATTTTAGACACTATATTAGTCAAACTAATTCCTCTGTGATTGTCACAGGAGGACTTTCGTCCTTTCTTATAGACTGGCACAATCAGTGGTTGAGACCAGTCAGATGGGATTACGTCCAGTTCCCAGATTCTACCTAAGACCTCAGTCAATCTCGCTGCTAATACTTGACCGCCATCCTTCAAAATATCAGGGGTAAACCTGTCAGGGTCTGCTGCTCTCCCACGTTTCAGATTTCCTATAGCTTTTTCAACTTCGTAAAGAGTCGGAGGACTTACATCAACTTGCCATTCAGGTCGACTGGAGATCGTGGGAAACCGAAGTGTGCCTGAAGGCCAGTTGAACTGATCCCTAAAGTGTTCTGCCCATCGATCCAATCTCCTGGATTGAGAATGTATAATATGTCCATCTTTCTCTGCGATTGTTTCGCTAACAGTTGGGTTCCTAATACCGGTTTCCTTAACAAGTCTGAACAGTTGCCTACTGTTACCTATTGCCGCTGCCTTTTCCATCTCTCTTGCTTTCGCTACCCACTACTGTTCACGATCAATGCGTAAGCTTCTAGTCAGCTTACGCTTAAGCTGACTCCGCTCTTCGTTATGTTCAGAGCCAGATGGAATGAGTTTTCGAGCATCTATCAGTGCGGTAGATGCTGCTGAGATCCAGTGTTTCTCCCTAACCTTATGGTTTACCGTACTTGCAGACATCACTGCTGTTTCTACAGCTTTTCGGATGTCATTCCATGCTGCCTCGGGGTGGGCATCACTTACATGGCTGTCTAACTGTTTTTCTAGATGTTCCTGAAATATACTCTTAGCTTGACTATCATTAAGTAGGACCATAAGGGGTTTCCTTGCAGCATGTTTCCTACGTCCAGTAAGACGTAGACAGATACGCGCTCGCACCAGAGCATGATCTGAGTCTAAGCATGTGCTCCAGAATGAGCGACAGTCTTCTATCGAGCCCCTCCATCGGCGGCTGATAGCGATGTGATCTATTTGGGTCCAGCGTTGAGACGAATTAGGGGGTCGCCATGTCAAAAGATGTTTTTCCTTATGCTTAAAGTTAGTGTTTGCAAGAAACAGGCGGTTATCTGAGCATAGCTGCAACAGACGGTCACCGTTATCTGTTCTTTGAGCCGCGACACCATAAGATCCACCCAGGTGTCTCTCCGTTTCGCATAGTTTACCTACTTGAGCATTAAAGTCACCAGCCACTATTACTACATCTGAATGCCTAGCTTTTCGGAGAAGGTCAGAAAGCTTTCTGTAAAACTCATCTTTTACATCATCTGAGCTGCAGTCAGTGGGAGAGTAGGCAGAGACGACGAAGAGGCAACGACGAGTGTCCCTATCTCTTCGAATCCTTACTGTTCCGTTTAGTCGGACAGCACACAAACGACTGTCTACTGGGATCCAGTCTAAGAGAGCTAGTTCTGCCCTAGGACTCAATGCTATACCTACGCCAGCGAGGCCACGGGATGCAGCATCAGGGCTTCCAGATACACGAAGCGTAAATCGAGTTGGTTCGTTACTTTGACATGGTGCGTTCAAATGAATGACACTACTAGGATCCTGTGTGCGCGTTTCGGAGACGCAGCACACATCGATGGAGCGAGATTCTAAAGTCTTAGCTAAGGAAGCCTGTTGTCCTATTTGGCATAGTGTTCGGACGTTGAAAGCTCCTATGTGTAGTTTGGAGCGTGGTTTCAGGAGACCATGAATAACATTCCGCGTACTCGAATCGTCTGCACTAGCGCGGCGAGGTGATAAAGGGACGTAAGAAGGGTTAGTCGTGGAAATAAGAGAGTTATTAGGAGGTGTAGGAAGGATTTGAATGTGACCAACTTGGTCTCGTGTGCTGTTACGGGTATGAGGGCTGATATCACTTCCCGGTTGCCCACACCGTGGAAGGGTATTTCTTGGGGGACCTGAAAAGGAAATCGGATTAGTGTTGGTCTTGAAGACCTGGGTGCGTGACCGCAGAGCCCAGGAGACAACTGCTTGAGGCCGGTCGCGCACGGCCTTTTTGTGGGAGGTTTTTAATGTGTTAGCTCCGTTCTTCAAAGGGCCTTACCGCCGGAGACGGAAATCCGTGGGGTAAGGTGAGGTGTGACATTTTTAGGGTCAACCTTTTCTAACTCCGTCCTTCCTTGTGAGAAGGCAGCATCGCTGCAGATGCTGGTTGTCCGAGGGAAACACCTTACTGCTGTCACACCTCTGTACAGTCAGCAGTACGACTTCGCCCTCAGACCTTGAGTTGCTGCCTTTAGTTTTATCGTTCTCCAATCGACCTGCCTGGCATGGTAGAACCTGCAGGAACATGTGTTCCAGCCAATATAGCTCAGTTACTTCATCACGATAGGCAAGCCCGACCACCACGTCAAGGTAGCAGCTACGGTCGGTATAAGGAAGAAAGAACTAGTTCGTAGAAATAAAGGTACAAATCAATTTTAATCTCACAGTCTAAGGGGAAACAAAGAGTGTATACACCCATGCCACTGCGATCGATTTACAACCTCATCAACTGATTAACCCATTAGGGCTGATCAGACTTCCAAAATAAGTGTTGTCGATGCGTTCGAATACTTCACTCCCTATCCTTAGTTCAGGTGTTGACACAGGCCAATCATGAAGAAACAAACTTGCATTTAGGTAGGGAGAAACGTATCCCAAATATTCTGGGATTGTTGCTCAGTGCTACCAAAAGACACTGCATTTTATCAGTGTCTTCACCAAACAGGACGATATCATCTGGGTATTCTAAATCAATAAGTGGTCCTCCTGGTAGGAGATCAATGCCCGAGAATTTAGTCGATAAGAGCGTTATTTCCATCAGCAGGTCTATGATAAAGTTAAACAAAAATGGGGAAAGTGGACAGCCTTGCAGGATACTACTTGAGGTTCCGAAAGCAGATGACAGTTCGCCATATGCTCTGACTCGACTAGTAGTGTTCGAGCAAAGAGCCTTCATAAGGTTTATGTACTTCTGAGGTACACCTTTCAATGACAAACACTGCCACAGAACCTCTCGGTGTACAAGTCAAATGCTGCGTTTAAGTCAAGAAAAACTAACATTGTCGGACACCGATGAACATTCTTGTGTTCTAGAACCTGACGAACGGTGAATATGTGGTCGATGTAGTCACGACCAGGTCTGAAGCCAACCTGATTTTCTCGTGTTTGCAGTTCACGAGTTTTAGTTAGGCGTCCAATAGTTGTCTGAAGGAAACACACTGCTGTCACACCTCTGTACACTCAGCAGTACGACTTCGCCCTCAGACCTTGGGTCTGCTGCTTTTAGTCATATCATTCTTCAACCGACCTGTCTGACATTGTTGGACCTTTAGGAACGATTGTTCCAGCCAGTGTAGCTCGATTGGTTCATCACGATAAGCAAGCCTGACCACCACGTCAAGGTAACAACAACGATCGAGTCTTTGACTGGTCACTCCGGTTTACTATATTTTCCTACTACTTTCTTTGTTGTATCATATAATTGTTTCATATTTATTTCTCTTTGAGCTTCTGCTCTTCACCTATTTCTTCGACTCTGTGTCTTAACTACCTCTATCTTTGTTCTGCTATCTGGTTTTCCCCGTTTTGAATCCTAACCTGAACGTCGACAGACATCGATCTTTTGTTCTGGTGCTTCTTAGGGCCCAACACCTGACATGCTGAAATCATTACGTTTGTGATCCTACTCCAGTTTTCCATAGCGGTTTTCTCCGATTAGACCTGCTGTTGGTCTCCCATCCTGTAAGCCCTTTTTGGCTCCTTTGGACCACATCAGTGTAACTCATTTTGTGTAGGGAGCATTCTTTTTTATGATGAGAACAGAACATATCAGCTGAAGTTATTTTTTTGTCGAGATCGTATCGAGTTAGTTCTACTCATTCTGTACACGGGCAAGTTTTATCTTCTCATTTCTGCAGCTATTTGATGGACTCTTCCTGTCTCTCATATTGTCTGGGCATTCCATGCACTTATATTGACTGTTGCTCTGGTTTTCATGAGGCACCGGCCTCGTGATTTTCGAGGAGTTTCAGCTTTCATTATAGGACGTCACCACTCTTTTGCATAAAGACCCTCGTCTACTTGGTATGTTTACATTTTACTCATTCGTTTTTGAGTTTTGTTCTTTCCTAGATAAGTGGATTTTTTTTGTAGTAAATAGTAGCCTACATTGTTGATTGCAGGTCTACCTTTCCAATACTTGTTCCATTTCCCAAATCACTTAATATCAGCCTAGTTCTTCCTAACCTGTTTCGGTGATCTAAAGTTACTCGTTAATTATGCTTAGCTTTTTCGGTTCATCCGTAAAATACGCTGAATGAATCCAGTTTTAAACATGAACTAGATACAGAGCTTCCTTCTTCTTTCCTCGTTTTTAAGAAAAAAAATGTCGGCAAGACTATAATTTCAAGATAGACTAATCAGGTATAAGATAACAAATCTCGGATTTTGGCGCGAAATTCATTCATACATCTGGATAAACAGAGTTTTGGTAATATAGCTGATGTCAGTTCGTGATGGAAACCCGAAATCTAATTCCTAACCTTAATAATCAACTGTGAATTCTAATTCTTCACACAGCTTTATAACCTTCATTTGGTCTTGATTATCAAGTGGACACTCTCAAGATCAGTCTAGCGTCGCTCAAAGGTCGTCCATAAATTATAGTCTCACCAAAAATATCAGCACCAGAAGTTTATAGTTTCAGACAGTGTTAGAATGCACTTCAGTCATATGTATAGCGATTCGTGTGTTATCTAAAGTTACGTTTTGTACTGTACAGGCATTCAAAGCAGTGTGTATAAACTGTAAAATAGGAATCTTTGTTCTTGCTCTTTTCAAAATGATAAAGGGAACTATGTGTATGAAATAGGAAAACTTGAAAAACAGCCGAAAACTCAGTGAGCCTATAGGATGTACTTACACTTAATAATGACCAGAATCGGCAATTACTTACTTACTTACTCCTGTTACTCCCAATGGAGCATAGGCCGCCGACCAGCATTCTCCAACCCACTCTGTCCTGGGCCTTCTTTTCTAGTTCCATCCAATTCTTGTTCATTTTTCTCATATCTATCTCCATTTCTCGGCGTAATGTATTCTTTGGTCTTCCTCTCCTCCTTCGACCTTGAGGATTCCATGTGAGGGCTTGTCTTGTGACGCCGTTCGGTGCTTTCCTCAATGTGTGTCCTATCCACTTCCAGCACTTCTTCCTGATTTCTTCCTCCACTGGGATCTGATTTGTTCTCTTCCACAGTAGGTTGTTGCTAATAGTGTCCGGCCAGCGGATCTGAAGTATTTTGCATAGACAACTGTTAATAAACACCTGTATCTTTTGGACGATGGATTTCGTAGTTTTGCAGGTTTCCGCCCCATACAGTAAAACTGTCATGACATTTGTATTGAAAATTCTGACTTTGGTGTTGGTTGCTAATTGTTTTGAGTTCCAGATATTCTTCAGTTGTAAATATGCTGCTCTTGCTTTGCCAATCCGTGCCTTCACATCTGCATCAGATCCACTCTGTTCATCGATGATGCTGCCCAAATATGTAAAGGTTTTTACATCTTCCAAATCCTCTCCGTCAATTGTGATTGGATTGGTACACACTGTGTTGTATAGGACAACCTTGCTTTTCCCTTTAAGTATATTGAGACCTACTGCTGTTGAGGCTGCTGCTACACTGGTCGTCTTCTCCTGCATTTGTTGTTGTGTGTGCGATACAATAACTAGATCATCTGTGAGGTCTAGATCATCCATTTGCATCCTAGATGTTTACTGTATCCCGTGCTTCCCTTCAGATGTTGATGTCTTCATGATCCAGTCGATCACCAGGAGAAAGAGAAAGGGTGAGAGTAAGCAACCTTGCCTGACACCGGTCTTTACTTCGAACGACTTTGTCAACTGTCCTCCATGCACGATTTTGCAGTTTAATCCATCATAGGAATTCTGTATGATATTGACTATCTTCTGAGGCACGCCGTAGTGTCGAAGAAGCTTCCATAGGGTTGTTCTGTCCACGCTATCAAATGCTTTTTCGTAGTCAATGAAGTTGATATAGAGTGATGAATTCCATCCAATTGATTGTTCCACAATGATCCGTAGAGTTGCGATTTGGTCTGTGCACGATCTATCCTTACGGAATCCTGCCTGTTGGTCTCGAAGTTGGGCGTCTACGGAGTCCTTCATCCTGTTTAACAATACCCTGTTGAAGACTTTTCCCGGTATTGAAAGAAGAGTGATTCCCCTGTAGTTGTCACAGTTGCTGAGATCGCCTTTCTTTTGTATTTTGACTAGAAGTCCTTCTTTCCAATCTTTTGGTACCTGTTCCTCATCCCAGATCTTTCTGACGAGAGTTTGGAGTATCCTTGCAGTTGCCGCTACGTCTGCTTTCAGTGCCTCTGCTGGAATGCTGTCTAGTCCTGCCGCTTTGTCACTCTTGATTTGTCTGATAGCCATGCTGATCTCTTTAATTGTTGGTGGGCCAACATCAATTGGGAGGTCCGTGAGTGCTGCTTCGATGTTGGGTGGGTTCAGTGGGGTTGGTCGATTCAAGAGTTCTTTGAAGTGTTCTACCCACCTGTTTCGTTGTTCTTCAATGTTGGTGATTATCTTGCCTTCCTTGTTTTTCACTGGTCGTTCTGGTCTACGGTGATTTCCAGAGTTTCTTTGTTGTGTCATACAGTTGTCTCATGTTTCCTTCTCTGGCAGCCTTTTCCGCCGTCATTGCTAAATCTTCCACATATTTACGTTTGTCAGTTCTGATGCTCCTCTTCACTTGCTTGTTTACTTCTGTGTATTCAGCCTGTGCCTTGGCTTTTTCTGCTCTTGTTCGACTGGTATTGATTGCTGTCTTCTTGTTCCTCCTTTCTTGAATCTTATCTAGTGTAAGAATCGGCAATAACAAATGTAAAATCAAGACGATTCGACATTAGAAACTGGCGTCGTATTTCGAATCCGTTGCAGCATGGTCCCAAACAAGTTCGATATTAAAGCTGACAGAATTGTGTATTGTTTATTCAGTGCTGTTTATTCAGTACAAAGAATAAAATATTGCAACAAACTTCTATTACTCTAAATTCTATGATATCCAAGGTTTTCTCTAAATATTGACTTCCCATCACAAATGTTTCTGGTTAGTTACATTATAACTTAGTATGTGCAGGGGTGTGATACCCACAAATGCCCTGGTACGACCGAGAGTGGGGAGAGTCCGCTCTCCCTCTCGAAAGGCTCTCACATGGCCACACGTATGCAGCCTCTACCAGGGAAGTCCTACTCACTGCCTTCTCGCACCACGGGTGTTGTTTACGAAAATGAGAGGACGAAAAGCGAATTTCCGTCGCTTTAACCGGATCCCAAACCAATGATGCACATGAGCTGGCTCCAGTATCCTGAAGGAACAAATTGCGTATGAACCAATCATTGGCCACTAACAACCATGGGACTGCATCTCCTTACGATGCTCCACTGCCTTGTGGGTCAGACGTTCAGGTCGAAGGCTCGGGGTGTGGCCCCCTAAAAAACCACCTGCTTCGGTTTGGGCACCCGGGCAGTATCACAGCCCTCACACATATTAAATGAGATTTGTGTGGCGCATATGTATTTGATGCTTCCTTGTACCAATATCTTGGTGTTAAAATAAAATAAATAGGAGTGTGATTAGTAAGTTAGTTCCCTCAGACAACCAGTAGCATCTGCAGCGATTCTGCCTCCTCATAACGAAAGGAAGAGGTTAAGAAACGTTGCTCTTAGAAATGTCACACCTCACGTTATTCGACGGATTTCCATATCCAGAGGTAAGGCCTTCAGGGTATGGAGTTAAAATCTCACAAAAAAGCCGTGTGATTTGTCTCAAGATGTTGTCCTCTGAGCTCTGCTGTCACACTCCAGGTCTTTAAGACCTCGGCTAATCCGGCTTCCTTTTCATGTATTTTAAGCTGGAGCATCGTTTATCGGTGTATGCAGCTGGTAAGTAACGATTACCTTCATATCTCTAACATCTGAAATCATCTTGTTCGCGATCAAATCCTCTGACTGATTTTGTAATACTTGTATAACATTTATATTTCCTTTTACCCTTATTTAGGGTACTTTTCTGGATTTTACTAAAAAGTATGCCAACCACATTTATATCTCCTGTTGTTTGTTTGGTATTCAGGGTTGTGATATGTTGTGAATAAATAGTACGATCAACAGTTGTTAGTTAAAACAAATCAAAATCAAGAAAACTCTACTCAGTATTTACACAGATGATGAGTAAACAGTTCATAAATTCAATCTGGTCATGATTGTATCAGCTTTATTTTCTATGCGTCACATCAGCAATAAGATAAAATCAAATTTATTAAGACGATGCCATCCAAGTAAAAAAGTGTCCTTATAGAAGGAAATCAGATCGTAAAAAGTGTTAAACGACATCATGTCTAAGATGTGTGGAAAAGAGTAGTTTACCCACGCGTACCTTCACTGCTAATTTTTAATTGTATCAACTCTTTTAATCAACTAGATTTCAGTTTTCTTATGACTTTCATTACGTTTCCACTTTGTTTCCAAATTTTAGGCGATCTAAATTTTCATGGCTTTAGTTAATTACCAGATCTTCTCATAGCTGCTGTTGTTTAAATAAATTTCTACGATCTTTTAGTTTTATTATACATTTATTACTGACTGGATAAAGTAATTTAGTCATTAGTTTTCACCTTGTTCTACCTGTAAAGAACTGCATGGAGCTGGTGTATTTGCTATGCGTTCTTTTTCTGCGCCAACAGCAATTCCAAGTTCTTGCTTACCTCAATATCAAGTTCAAAATAACTTCTCCCAACAAAACCAGGCCTTTTTAAATTCCATGGCTCAACCTACATTTAGCCTAATGCCGGCAGTTTCTTACTCTTCTATTCCTGTATGCACATCTCCAACGTCTACAAACCCTATACCTGGATCCAATATTATACAGTCTCAACAGCCTGTAATATTTTCTGCGTGAGTTTATTTTATCCTAAATTATCAGTACACTTATTTCGTTAAACTTTATCATGTCAGTAATCACTAAAAAATTTTTCAAGTGAAACCTTTTTTCGCTTATTTAATTCCTTTTTTGAGTTAGGATTAGTGGTCCACAAAATTTAATTTAAAAATACTAACCAATATTCATGATTAATCTTTAGATTTGGGAGAATTTAGTTTCTATATGCACAGGTGTATCAAAACTTTAGTGATTTTCTGTTGTCAGATCATCCATCCTTTGGATATGTTGAATACATTTTTCAATGTACAAATTCCTGTTAGTTTTTAATACATTTATGTTCCTCCCTTATACTTTAGTCGTATGCAATGATTCCTTGTTTTTATATTCTAATAGACTGGGTTTCTTCGCGCAAAACTGTCATAATAGTGGTATTGGACTAGAGTATTCTTCAGAGCTGTTCACTCAGATATCATCGATAGTATGGTAATCGGGGTTATCAACAGTTAGCAAGCAAAATACTTACAAGCTTTTATACTTCTGGTCATCTCGTACATAATTTTTGTCATTGTATCTGTTTCAGTAAGCTTTCATTGCTTTAAAAGAAAAGCACATATAATTAATATGTAAACCGGGTGGTAAGATGTACACTTTTCAGTCGGTTTCCTCTCTATTTATTTTTCAAATTTTCAAATGCTTGACCAATAAACGAAAAATGTAACATTTCTTACTCTTTATCTTCTGGAAAACAATCTATACAACATAAATAAAAGTAGTAGCCAATAATTGGTTAACTTTTTAAATGGCCTAACATTTTATATTGAGTTTATTTACGTTTCCTGTCTTGCAAAGTTTTTCACACATTATTAGTACTTCAAATAACCTCCTCAATGCAACCTGTAGTGATCGGATGACCCCATATGATATACTAGGAGTATCTCACTAAAACAAATTATTCAGAATACGGAATGAATTAGTTGAACGCGTTAACAACTTCACTTATCTTGGAAGCCGGATCAGTCTTAATGGGATGGTGTCTGACAAAATCTCAGCACGGATTCGAAAAGCTCGTGTGGCTTTTGCCAACTTACGTCACCTATGGCAAAGGCGAGATATCCGCCTATCAATTAAGGGACGAGTATACTGCGACGCAGTTCGTTCCTGCTTCGGTCTGGGCACCCGGGCAGTATCACAGCCTTCACACATATCAAATGAGATCTGCGTGGCGCATATATATTCGGTGCCTCCTTGTACCAATATCTATGTGTTAAAAGAAAGAAGAAAAGAAAGACGCAGTTCGTTCTGTTTTACTTTACGGCTGCGAAACGGCCATTAAGAGTAGAAGATACTCGTAAGCTACTAGTATTTGACCACAGATGCCTTAGAAATATTGCTGACATCTGCTGAGATCACCGGGTAAGTAATAGTGAAGTTCGACGCAGGGTATTAGGGAATGATGGCAAATCAGTTGATGAGGTTGTGAATCGATCGCAGTGGCATAGGTGTATACACTCTTTGTTTCCCCTTAGACTGTGAGATTAAAATTGATTTGTACCTTTCTTTCTACGAACTAGTTCTTTCTTCCTGTACTATGTCCTTATATGCAATCTTTCTTTTATATATTGCTACCATTGAAGTAACCGCTTCTATGAATTTGGTGTCCATCTTGTTGTGCCAATGAGGTGTGGCAACCTAGACCGATGCATGTATGTCTCTGGTCCTACGTTTTAGGTGACTGACTGACAAATTATTGATTGATATGGGTTTAAATTAACATAAATCGTAATCGTGTTTAATCTTTGTTCTTTTCTTATCAATCCTTAAACAGAGCTCCTGGAAACTTTTTCCTTGCTCAATCTACACCTATTGGTACTCCAGTTGTGGGTGCTCCATCATTTGTCTTTGCTCCTGGTCAGACTAATCAAAATGCTTTTGTGGTTGCTCATCCATTATCCCAGGCACCAATCGCGGGACAAATGGCCACTCATACAAATCCAGCAAATTGTGTTATTCGTCTTCCTGATGGACGGTTTGTCTTACCAGCTACTGCTCCTAATAATTTAAATCTTCAGTCATCTTTAACTCGTATTTGTGGCCCTCAGCCTAATTACTTCCCTGTTACAGTATCTGCGCCTACCAGTGTAAATTCATCTACAATACCTTCGTTGACTCCTCAAATCGCCCAACCACCATCAGGCCAAGTAGGTCAAAAGAAATAAACATTTTGCCTTAATTGTGCATAAAAGTTTACATTTATTGTCTGAAGGTGTTGGTTTTCGTCTCGCTTGGACATTATCCAGCTTCTGTATATTTTTTTCTAAGTAAACATTTGGTCACTTCCAAATAACAGCATTCTGATATATTCTATACAAATCGGCGTTATCATTGAGTTTCTTACGTGCTTATCGTTTAATCTGTTGTCTCACAGGCGTTCTATATTCAGATGCCAACCAGTTGTGTCAGTGTTGGTAATACAGTTTTCACTACCTCTCAACTGAATACTGGTACTAATTTTCAAACTCATCCAATGTCAACGATGAAACCAGGACCTCAAGTATCCTTCGCTAACTCACAGATGAATGCTTTATATGGACAATCCGGTACTTTTATAACCCCTGCGACTGGATCGAATCAAGCTCAGTTGGCTCCTAGACCACTTGGCACTAATTTGAATCCTGCTTGCTCTGGAATAATGATGAATAGACCTGGATTACTTCTCCCCACAGGCTGCAGTCCTGGAACTCCAGTATTAGATGCATACACTGTACAAGTAATAAAAATTGTCCTAAAATATATCTAATTATATAACTACATAATATTTGGTAATATGTAATACAAATCTGTAGTCTTTTTTACATAAGCCTCAGTGTATTACTAATGAACATTTATCAACATTACTCCCCAATAAATGTTATGTTGCCAAACCCAAGGCTAGAATATACTAAAACATATTTAGACAGGTTGTTTCAATGCCTCCATTGAGAGAACCACAGTTCAATTACCGTAACAACAAACAACTTTTCAGGCATCAAAAAGTTTAGTTGTTAGTGAGACTATCTATAAAATCAGGACTGTGATCTACTATCAGCCCAGGCAATTGAATCGATGGATGGGATACTCCAAAGAACAGTTCAATTGTTCTATGGTTATCCACTATTTCGAAACAACCAGAATGAAAGATTAACTCTTAGCAAAGTTGCTAAGTTTAAAGTGAGGGAAATCAGTCAGCCCTCATGTAAACTTTTAAGGATAGGGGTCCAGTTTCAGCTGTTAAGTTGACTGGTGATATAGAGTAATTCGAGCATAGGAAATGGACAACTCCATCTGACTGATTTCGATTATCGGTCATACCAGTTTATAAGGAAGAACAGAAGTCTTGTGTTAACCTCGCAGAAATCTAATTAACCGTTATAATACCTAGTATATTAGCCTTAATAATCACTCGATGCTAAACTAGGACCCGTAAAGAACAAATCTGGGGAAACTATGCTGGTTTCAGACATTGACGTGAAACAAATACATACCTGTCAACTTCCGAATATAGTGATGAATTTTCTTCTGCCAAATCTCGGTATAGATTCTGAAAGTTCTATTGGTGTTTTTCGGTTTGCGTCTCATGTGTATGTTGTGCAGCAGTATGTTCTGCTCGACTTCATGTCTATGAAATGTTGCCCTTAAAAATGGAGTATATTCGTAGGTCTCTAAAATTTGGTCACATGGGCCTTCAAAGCATAGCTCACGTTTATTGGGACCATTAAGTGACCGATCCAGATGTTAAAAGTAGGGCTTGCCTTGATAATTTCATCCCACGTACAAGCTTTTTTTGTACTGTATTTTGATATTGAAATCATAGATTATTCTTATCTCTTATCTAGCCTTAGAACACTTCAGTAGTATTATTTGTTATTGTTAACTTTATAACCTCTAACTTTTGTTGAAATGTTATCTGGAAATTCATATAGTGTTGGAAGTCAGACAGTTATCATACTATATCTTGGCTTGACATTTTGGTTACAACTCAAGGTGATCTGATAGTTGAGTGCTCACTTGAGATATCTAGTGATTCTGTGGTCATGAGTACACATTACTAGTGAGTCCCACACCAAGACGAAATAGCTGTTCCAAGTAGTATTCCAACTGATCGAATCATGACTGAAACTATCTTCAACTTCTGTTTTATTTATCTTTTTTAGTTTACAGATTCCCAAGGTTGTTAATACTTGTGTATTCAGCATAACCAGCTTTTTTCCAACATGTTTTGAAAGTTTCGAACTTTCTTAGATGTATTTAAGTATATATCTTCTGTCACTAAGTTTTACTTACCTATTTTCTTTACATTGTCAGAATCAACAAAAACTAGGCATTGGAACGAATACATCACAGTACACTAGTCTTCAAGCTTTGCCAAGTGGAATGGCCGTTGCCCGATTGCCGAATGGAACGTATGCCACAGTGTCGCTTAGTTCTACTGGAATATCAGGTTCATCACCGATTTTTGTAAATAATGCTTGTGTTCCATCTACACTGGCTAATCCAACTGATACCTCAACTGCACCAAAACGTAGTGCTCCTAATTCACGTACTAGACCAAAGTTAACTGGTTCTCCACCTGCTGATACAGATGTACTACGTCGTTTAGATGATCAAATTGCTTCGTTACAACGTTTGACTGCACCTACAGAAATGCAATTAAATAGACTAAAGCAGCTTGTTGAGGTTAAACACCAATTAACAAAAGTATCTAATATATCTGCCAATCCTCCCAATGCATTGGCTCCTCGTAGCTTGCCAACATCTAACGCGGTTACGAATACTCCTGCTTGTCGAAATCCTAGCCCTGTATGTGCGCAGATCACTCCAAGTGTGGTAAGATTTTATTCAAATTATTGCCTACCGTAAGATATTAAATAAAACTCAAATACCTGTTTGATAATAATATTAATTACTGCCATTATTATTATTATTATTATTATTAATCTTATCAGCGTATTTTAGACTAAGGTTTTCCTGTTTTCTTGCCTAAACAAGTTAAAGGTACTAGATAAATATAGCAGATCGATTGATAAGGTAGTGAATTTTCATCAGCTTAGGCGGTTGAAACAAGTGTTACGTATGCCCAACCAAACCTTACCTCGACAAGAAATGTGTGGTCACGCTTCACTGCCAAAAAGATTTTAAATATAGTTCATAAAAGAAATTAAATCACTATGTGAAACTATTAGACTTTGGTTACAAATCAGTTCACTCATCCTTTCATTTATACTTATGATCTGTTTATTTTTCATATCTTATCATATTCCAATGTAACTGTTGTTTTAATTTTGTGATTATGTATATTGGACTTATTAAAGATTTCTCCTTTAAACATCTTTTTTTAGCGTCGTGAAGTCCTAGATTTACTTTCTCAGCACAAATTACTACCACAACCTATTGGATCTAATAACAATGAAGAAACTTTCATAGTAGAATTTCGTCTAAATCAACAAAGATATCAACTGCGACTAACTCGCTCTCAAAAAATTGATATGGAACGTTTACTTTTTACTAATACTCCACAACGTCAGGCTGAAGTGTTGACTATTTTTCAACAGGAACAAAGTCGTCTACTTGCTTCAACACCACGGGCAAGACTACCAGCTCCTTCCGGTCAAACTAGTAATCCGGTTATGACGACATCTCCAGTTGTTGGGTTTAGTATTGCTTCACAACCCTTACGATTACAATCTGGAATTCCAACGTTTGCAGCTACTCCTATGCACACTTTCCATGGTACATCTGGTCTACGACTGGTTACAGCTCGGCCAGTTGTACCACCAAATGCTATATCAGGACCTATTGTTAGATCAAATATTCCTCCTGTATGTTCTTCAACTCCAGTTGTAGGTGTTGTTACTGCTTTAGCTGTACCTCCTATTGGGACTTGTGTTAATAATCCTAGTAAGATATTTTAATGAACGATGTTTTTTTTAAAAAGCACAATAATGTTTGTTTTATTTGTCTTTATGTATTTTATGCAAGTCTAGGATTTTGGCGCGTGATTCACTCATCTTTAGCTCATGTCAGTTTGTGGTGAAAACTCTTATCCTAATTCCTGATACTAATTTATAACCCTCTTCTTACCTTATTAAGTAGGTGAATTCTCTTAAGGTTATTTTAGCGTCACTCAAAGGTCGTATTATTATTATTATTATTTAAACATATAGATATTAGTACAAGGAGGCACTAAATATATACGCACCACACTTCATCATTCGACTTGTGTGAGGGCTGGAATACTGATTGGGCGCCCTAACCGAAACACGCGGTTTTCTTAGAGGACCACACCCCGAGCCTTTGACCCATAGGTCTAATCCACAAGGCAGTGGAACAACGTTAGGAGATGCAGTCCCATGGTAGCCGGTGACCAACAATAGGTTCATACTCTGTTTTTACCTTAGGATCCTGGAGCTCATGTGCACAATTGGTTTGGAATCACGGTATTTCCAACTCCCCTAGGTGTATAATTGTCCACTTGACAGATATGAAGAAAAACAAAGAACACAAAGGTCATAATACTAATAAGTGAATTATAGTCATGAAAAATTGTTAGAGGATAGTAATAACTGATTACGGTTTAAATTTACAAAACACTAATTTTAAGAAAGTCGAAAAGTAATAAAGGGAAATAGAGTCAAGGAAGGATGAGAGATTAGACGTATCGTTTTTGCACGCAGAGTCCGGGCTTGAGTTTGTTGATTACCAATTCCTTAAATTATTTTCATCCTTATATTCTCCTCTTACCCCTTGATTATTTCGTAACCTCATATATGATGCAATCTTTTCTACTCTTCTATAGACATATATTTACCATATAACTGTAAATGCGAATGTGCAGTTCAAGTAAATGTTTTCGTCGGAAAGAAAATTTTCTCTGGATTCTCTTTATTTAAAAATAGTCAGTCTAATAATGTTAATAAAAGTTACGAATTCAGCATATCAAGTATAGTTTTAAAAAACATAAAGTTGGGGAATAGATAGTAAGGATTAATACTATTGTCAATATTTAGAGTACAATAAGAAGTAAATAAATTTACGACATTGCGATCAATTTTGAATCTTGTCACCTAAGGTCTCCAACTATAAAGATCTCATATATCTTGTAAGTTGACTCCACTTCTTATTAGCACTCTTGATCTTTTTTCGATCGACTTCTACGCTGGCCGGCATTTCGTTTCAAAATAAGTAATATTTATGTAAGTGTGCCTAAAATATGTCCAAACTACCCCGGCTGATTATTTTTCTTAACTGTAATGGATGACTGACGTACCACAACTATCTATGAACTTGTGCTTTTTCAAATGTTCTCTTTCAAACTATTCATTTTGTTCAAAAATGCGAATTAATTCTCATCATTTTCACTAATTTCCTTCTCCCGCTCATTAATTTTCTTCAGTGTTTGCACCCGCCTTAGCTTTAAACTCTGCTGCAGTAAATATTCCTACAGTTTCATCTAGTCTTTCAATGTCCTCAGCAATGATGTCCACTATAAATGCAACAAGTGGTTTACTAACAACAATACCTACAACCTCATTTAGTTCAACTGTGAATAATGCAACGCAAAACTTTGTTTTATCAGCTTCAACTGTAGTCAATTCTACTGGTACTACAATTCTAACTCCTAATACTAGTGGATTCTGTACACAGTCTGGTCCCTTCACATTACCACCTGAATCTATTAATGTTGTTAATTCGATACGACCCGTAGCACTGAATCTTCAACAAGTAAGTTACTTGACTGTGTTATCATATTTTTCAGTGATTTTTCCTCTATAAATAAACAAATATTTTCTTGCCCACAGCTTCAAATATCTGAATAGCCCATCAAGAGTAGAGTTTACCAATCAGTTCTCTTCTTTCTATTACTTACATCTGTTAAGCACGATATCCGAGGACTAGCGTATAATATAATTACAGAAATGAGATATTAAAAGTTTTCAAGTTGCTATTTATGTATAGTGAAATCATTAATTGAACCTCGATGGTATTTTGTAATGTAAGTGTCTATGTCTAGTCTAAAGGGGTACCTTATTTTCTGGGTGTGTGTAAGAGATATTCTAGAAAAGAAGTGATCCGACGGTTCAGTAACCACATATAATACATTTACACTGAATAATGAAAGCAAGTGACAAAAGTAAGTAATAACACAGCGTAAGATTAAAAGAATATGTGATAGTTGAAGTTAAAGTCGATAGCGTGAGATTTCGAATGCTTTATAATTTTCCTAATTCATATTTCCGCGATAAAATTTGTTGTTACTAAATTGGTTGCCGTCGCTTTTAGTTTTTACTAAGGTCGTTAAATGTTACTACAATAAAAGAGTTGTTCCTATGCAAATTTGACCTCTGTAGGGAAGGTTTTCCTGGAAGTCTCGTTTTCTCTGTTAGTGTGTGGCTTATTGATATTGAAGTTTTTTAATGTGCCAAACAGTCTATTCAAGTGCTTGTTCGTCTCGTTATAAAATAAACCTTAACAGCAAATAGAATTTACTGTAGGCTAACTGGAAACCCCAATACCTTAATTGTTGTCGAGATTTAACACTATCTAGATTACATAAAGAATTGTGAACTTCTTAGTCTATCACGCTATTCTCATCCCGACTTTAGTATATTACATTGGCACATACTTGATATTTCAGTTTTTTCTTTCTCCTATCCTACAGTTTACATTAAGTTACCCCATTACTAACAGTCTAATTTAGTAAAATTTGTCTCTACTACTTGTTTTTACAAATCTAATAAGAAACTGTTTTTCTCATCACATACTTTCTTATTATTTAATTTCAGGCTGCTAGAATAGGTCGACTTCGTGCTTATTTAACTAATGATCTTAGACTAGCAGTCGACAAACCGCCAACATTACAAACTAATGATCTAACAAAATTACCAAGTCCATTAGAACTACTTGAAGCGTTGGCACCTTATCACGTTCTTAATGATGCAGATAATACTAAAGAAGCCTTAGATAAAGGTTGGTTCATTTCAGTAATAACAGTAATAATTCACATTAATTTTATGCACTTAGGACCTTTTAGTCACCTTGATGAGACCAGGAACATGGGTTTTAGCAGAACAATATGAGTTCATCTAATTTCATTTGCTTCTCGTTAGCGGTTTTATAACTTGATGTTATAAGCAGTTATGATAACTAAAAAAATTATAGTTAGAGATATGTTGTGGTGATTGGTTTGATTTGTAGGTTGTATTCGTCCCAAATTGACCTCAGTTGGTGTACCATTGAAGACCGACCAGAGAACACTGCACAGCTCTTTCATCCTAGTTTGGGATTGTTCACCAATTTTAATCTATAATCACGCCGTAAATCAGACTCAGGACTTTTAGGGATCAGTCCGTACAGTTAACGATTAGAACCAGTGATACTACTCCAATTTTAATCAATTTCCGATATAGCCCAACAATTATCTAATACCAGAGGTGACAATTGTTTCACTCCTGATATATCTGAATTTCATTTTAGTCATGACTTCTTAGTATAAATGTAGGAACTTCCTGAAGTCACTAGTAAGCTAATTATTTGATGAAGGAGTTTTGTAAAGATTGATATTATGTGTAAATTGTATTATTCACAGACTATCTCTACATAAATTGTTTCGTTTGACAATTCTCTCCTAGTTAATAAGAGATTATTGTGTATCATAAATGAATGACTCAATTTTATATATGTTTGAAATTTCAATCCTAAACAAAAAATATATAAGTAGAGTTAAAGTGGTCATTCTATTTATTTATTATTTATTTTAACACATAGGTATTGGTACACCGAGGCACCAAATACATATGCGCCACACGAATCTCAATTGATTTGTGTGAGGGCTGTGATACTGCCCGGGTGCCCAAACCGAAGCAGGTGGTTTTCTTAGGGGGCCACACCCCGAGCCTTCGACCTGAACGTCTAACCCACAAGGCAGTGGAGCATCGTGAGGAGATGCAGTCCCATGGTAGTTAGTGGCCAATGATTGGTTCATACGCCATTTGTTCCTTCAGGATACTGGAGCCAGCTCATGTGCATCATTGGTTTGGGATCCGGTTAAAGCGACGGAAATTCGCTTTTCGTCCTCTCATTTTCGTAAACAACACCCGTGGTGCGAGAAGGCAGTGAGTAGGACTTCCCTGGTAGAGGCTGTATACGTGTGGCCATGTGAGAGCATTTCGAGAGGGAGAGCGGACTCTCCCCACTCTCGGTCGTACCAGGGCATTTGGGGGCATTCTTTTAAGCTTGTTACTTTACCAACCGAGGAGAAAAGAAGTAGACCTTAAGAAGTATAAAATTGATGTATACTTTAGCTTTTCATCTTTCCTCTATTTATTTCTACTTACAACTATCTGAAAGAGTAGTAAGGTATCAAATAAAAGTGTCTTTGTCATTTTAACATTCCTTATTTGTAAAAATTATCTATTGACATGATTTATCCAATATTGTCTTACGAGATAAATTACCTATGAAATGTTCTATTGTCAATGAATTCAGTAACATTTCATCGGATATCCAATACATTCTTCATCAGTAAAATTGTCCTTTAAAACAATTCATTTGTCAGCTAGTAGTTGTTGTTGTACGGGATCAGTAAAATTGTACTGTACAGTTGTTTTCAAATGATAATATTTGTTTATTATCTGAATCTTCCAAACTAACTAATAAACCTGATTTTTTTATTGGTTGTTTGAGTCTTCCCATTGATGTTTAGGATTGTAATTGATCAGTTTCATATTATCCCAGAGTGAACATCAACTCTGGGATTCTCACTGCTAGCCATCATTCATCTCTACTTACAGCATTATGTATTGATAAACATGTAAGAACTTATATATTCACTATAAAAATTCAAATCAACTTTAAAGTAAAGCATACACATTGTTTGTTTTACTCACCTTAAATGGTACTACCGTTCATATTTGTTTTCACTTATATGAATTAAGTTTGTAAAAAGAAATAATAATGAATTTTTATTCACCTATTGATCTTTTTTTCTTTTCCTATCTTATCATAATTTTAGTTGACCTAATATTGGAAAAATCTGTTAATCTACTTTTACAGAAGAAAAAAGAAACAATTGAAGCTGTAAACTCTTTAATTTTCAAGGAATCATTGGTATGTTTATATATATATATATATATATATATATATATATATATATAAACTATATTCAGCAGAAATGCTAACTGTGGTAACAAAGACCCACAAAAGTTAGGATGCATTGATGATATCCCCTCTAAACAACACTTTCAAATTTATAGCAATACGTTTAGCCCAGTCTTTGTTTTTGTTAGAAATTCTTTAGAAGTTAATCTCTTCACTGAACCATTTATACCCTATATTTTCGTCAGTACATGAGATTGGTAATCGTCTTAGCTTTAAGTCGTGCTTGTAGTTTTTATGGAGATCATGAACCGATCAATTTTAGACCAACATTGAGAACCTAGAAGCACTGGATGACTGTCTCATGCACTTTCCTTCATATGGAACTGGAAATCAGAACCTTCGGCCTAGCACGTGAACTCTTAACATCTGTACGATTGTTTGACTTCAACCAATTCACAATATTGCACGACTATCTTTAATTGTCTTCGGTGGGTAACTGCCTAACACCCTATACGTTTAAACTCCACTAGTTACAGCTTCTCTAACAATCTTTATAGTTCTCACTAAGAGCGTCTAATTTACTTATATATGTATATATCTTCAATACATTCTATTCATTGATGACGTCGAGTATTTGAAGAATTTTCGAATAATTTTCTTTTCTTCATATCTATTAGATATAAAGTAGTTTGTGTTCTTCGTTTTGTTAATTAATCGTTAAATATGTAAGTTCTGTTATTCATTTACTTCAGCTTAGTTATTAAATTTCAGTGGAAACATTATTACGTCATAATTATCTTTATACTTTGTATCGTCACTCATTGACTTCATTCACTTTCTGGTAGACACTATATTTTTAGTTTATATACACTTTTGTCACGATTTGGACAATATTATCTCATTAATATAACTATACCTTAAGTGTCAGAGTAAATGCTCTTACTCCAACTGATCCAATCAGATTTCAATCAATATATATGCGAACTTGTAACCTGTTATGACCAATATCTAGGTGTGTAATTTAATCTTAACGCCGATACCTTATATGTGTGAAACCTAATAATACTGCCCAGTTGCCCAAACTTAAGCAGATTTATTATAGTTTGAACCTACGACCTACTGGTTGGGAGTAGAGTGATTTGACTACTAAGCTAAAAGGATATTTCAATGATCCACCATCAGTTAGCTGAAATAATTATGATTACACTAAATAATAGGATTAATTGCTTTCAGCAGTCTGTGGATTTCCCTTCATCTTATCCAACTCCTTTAAATGCATATTATGAAAGTTCAAATACCAGTTAACATCCTTAGTGCGGTGTTTTGTGAAGCTTACGTATTAAAATACATACACATAATTGGACGTTTGGCTTAAGAGATGAATAAGCATATGCTTGTGTTTGATCAATTATAAATCTTCCTAGTATTTTTATTTATACAAAGCTTTTGATATTTTTCCAAAGTATGAGGTAATATTACTTTTGAGTTTTTTGATAATCATGATTTTGCATTAGTTTAAATCACGAAACTGGTTTTAGTTAGACCATTATTAAAAGTCTGAAAGCACTGTACAACTGTTTCGTCCTAGTATGGGACTCCTCAGTAGTGCCCATCCACAGAGTAAGTTTAATCGTTTTCATAGAGCTCATTGACAGACACATGACGTGTAATTGCTAACTCATCAAAATACTCTTTCGAAATTGTATAATATGTGATAATAAGCCAAGAATAAAGTTTACAGTTATTCCTCTTTTTTCCCCATCCTGACAATATTGATAACACATTTTCTGTTTTCAACTTATTCTTTTTTTCTAAATTATGAACAGTACAAACTAGAACCGTTTTTAGAAGACCGTTTACTAGTAGCTAACATGGCTTTAGATTTGGAACGTGATGTATTTACTACTGAAAAAGAAATATTTGCAGAAGCGTTAAATTGCGACAAAAAAGAGAATTGTGTCGATATTCATAACGATGATAATGATAAGAAACCAATTATTGTTGAGTCAGTAAATGAGCAATCTATATCAAACAAATATATTGATGATAAAAGGCATCTGAACAAGAAAATTACTCCCATTTTAAAGCATTCAGTTTCTTTGCTTCCTTCACCATGGTGTGATCTCTTAGGTCCTTTAGCCTATCTACGTCCTTTAAACTTTGATACTGATGGTAACACAACTATAGCTGAAATTAAACTCCCTTCGAACGACTCAGAGTTTACAGTACACAATGAAAATAATAATACACACACTCAAATACAATCTTCTGCTAATTCTTCTTCCAATAATGTGATATTACGTAATTCAATATCTGAATCAAATACTGTTAACTTACCAAATAATTTGCTAGTAGAAAAACCCAATGATTATGATGAGGATGTAAATGATGAATCGTCGGATGAAGCTGAAGCTGATCGACTGCTTGGTCTTGGTGGTGGTTGTAGTAGTAATAGTAGTGGTATTCCACCTTTAATTATTAATCGGTCAAAATTGTTGGATAACAATTCTACAAATGGTCTACTTGACAATAATAATAATCATCAATCTACTGGTAGTATTAGAAATCATTCGGAATGCGACGGTGGTGGTGGTGATAGTGACGATGGGGAATTTGATGAAGCTTATGCATTTTGGCAAGAATTAATGCATGATAGAAGTATCAATATTGAGGATATGAATGCCGGTCTAATAGAGAATAATTTTGATAATGAATCTAATTTATTGGTAATCATCTTTGTTAATTTCATACACATATTTCGCCTATTTGAGTTTTTTTCTATACCAACCTATTTCTGTAGACGTGAATAATTTTCATGATATGTATGTTGGAGGTTGTAAATGATGTGTAGAGAGTGGTTGCATCAATTTCCACACCGTGAAAAGGTGCTTCTTTTTGAGAGACCTTAAAAGAAAGCTGAGTTGGTCATAATCTTAATGACCTCAAAACTCAACAGACGACTGCTTCAGTTCAGTCATATACAGGTTTTAAAGGCCTTACTTCCGTATACGGAAACCTATGGGATAAGATGAAGTATGGTGTTCCTAAGTTCGACCTTTCTTAACCCCATCCGTTTCGAGGTACTAATTGTCTGAAAAAAACGTCTTACTGTTGTCACACCCCTTTACATTAAACAGTACAAATTTATCCTGGAATATTGATCCGCTGTTTTTAGTCTTTCATTTCTCCAAACGACCTATTTGATTTGTGTGGATGGACGTGAAAGCACAAGTGTTCTGTGTAATATAGTCCTATTAGGGTCACCACGTCAAGGTAGCACCTACGACCGAGGTATACATATTCGTCGTAAAGTAGGTGTGGCATTTTATTGTGTTATTCGAATGTCGATCCTTCCTCCAGTCGCTTTGACCAATGTTCAAAAAAAACCCCGTTAAAGTTCGATGCAACTTGAGTCTCAACATGATCATCATCCCAGTGTTGGAAATATCGATTATTTTGCCATTCAATCTACAATCAAAGTTTGGTAATGCACCTTCAGCTATGATTGTTGTAATAGTTATCTTTTTGATATTATTTTCTTCAATCATTAATGAATATCTGTACTAGTGAATGCATTTGTATTCCTTGTTAGCTAGTCTGTTGAATTTCGTACAAAATAAGAAGTAATCGTGTTTTACAGTTTGGAGTAACTAAACAAATGTCGAAAACATCTTTGAATTAAGGTTACAAATAATACGGCTTCAAGAATAATGCTGCTCTATAGCAAAATAATATAACTAAAACAGTTTATGGGTCTATATTAAAGCACCATTTAAATATGTATGTTAACATTCTTCGATTTAGAGTATCCCCTATTCGCTCAAAAAAATTGAAATCTGTATATGTAGTGGAGCAGGGTGGCTTAATGTTCAAGCCGTTCATGCGCTTAGAGTGTGACTTGAATAAAACAAGAAATATATAATTGTATTTGGTAACAAGTTAATAGTCATATGCTTTATGTATGTTCAAGAACCATTCGTTTCCACTATGATGGACACATCTGCCTTAGTTCATTCTTTTTAATTTTTGTAGGATGAACCACCTAATAAATCATTGCGTTTACTTGACAATGGACAAACTCATAACTTACCAACAGTTCAACACTCTGAAGATCCAGATATTGATGCAGCAATTAGAAGTATTCTATCGACTACTGACTAATACGACAATCATGAAAATATCTTTTGTATATTATGTTAATATTTTAAAAATTCATTAAAATCACTATATTGTTATCACTTATTATATAGTATTATGTATGGTGTCCCACTTGTGTATGCCCTAATCTGATCTTTCAAAATTTGTACATTATTGTATCTTTTCATTTTTACGTGTATCAATGATTTCTTCCTCTTTTCTCTTCGGTAAAAAGAAAAAATTGAATAAGACTTCTTTAGATAATCCTGTTTGTTTGTTTGTTATTTCTCTTTTTCTTTTTAATAGAAAAACATCTTTTTCATCATATTTCCCCTCGTTTTATAATATTTATAACAACAGACTATCCCTACGTTGTGTTTAGTCTTAATCATACTCTTCCATATATTCAAGTGTGCCTTTTTTCTGCTTACTTAACTTTCTATTGTCCTATTCTCACCTATTGCCTTTTCTGCTTCTTCTTCTTCACTTTGTCTTATCTTCATTCTTTGATTTCTTGGATTCTATTACAACAAACATATCGTTAAAATTAATGATCCTAATAGTAGTATCTTTGTTTTAATTTCAATTATTTTTTAAGCACAGTCATATATTCATAATCTTGTATAATAACAAATAGAATTGATCAAGATAAAAATAATAATGATAATGACAATAAGTCAGTTGTCATTAAATGAAGTGTTCCGATTATATGTTGTTTATATTGTTGTCGTTGTACAGTAATTTCTTCTTTTTTTCTTTTTCTTCCTTGTTTTCTAGGTGTAAATTCTTCTTTTCTATTCCTTGTACATGTATAAGCCCTTTGTGCACATTATACATATGTAATTCTTAATTGACTGAAGTGTGGCTTGTTTTGCGCGATAATTCCTTATCTTCTACACATAAGATTTCAAACTTGACTGTTGAAGAGGAAATTTCTTTCTTATTCATTTTGTTAGTTTGCAATATACGCAAATAAATACATATATATTTACTTATATATCTATATTTAGTTAAATTTACCAAAGGAAAGTGTTATGTTGGCTACTTGTCTGTTGCGTAATATCGTGAACATTAATTTTACTACCTTTTTTGTCATGTTTATACACAAGAAATTCTTCTTACAACAATTCCCGTTTATTTTAGACTTGAGTTAATGGATCTAATGGTTAGGCGCTCGCGGGGGGCGAGGTCCTGGATGCGCATTGATGAGGAGTCCCATACTGGGACGAAACGGCCGTTCAGTGCTTCCAGGTTTTCCATGGTGGTCTAGTTTCAATTGACTCATAATCTCAACTGTTGGGATTATTATGAATAGATTAGTGTCTTAGTTTGGTCATTTGTAAAATTATTCTAAATCATTTTCGTACATTTAATGCTTATATCCTAAAGAATCAATGAAAGTCGTCAACATAATTAATAAATGACTGTATCTCTTTATGTATAGTTAAAGTTATTTAGTGAATCGTACACGGATATAATAGGCAAGAATTAAGCCTAACACATTCAGGTTTTAATTGATTATAAAGTTAGTGAAATACAACATTGATTTCTTTCAATCGCCTATGATGTTTGATTATGTTAGGTTTTCTTTCAACGTGTTTATAAGTATATTATTTTATTAGAAAAAAAGGCCTACTTTTATGGCTAGTAATCATTAATTAGTTATCTTTAACTCGTCTACTAAGTTGATTATCCAGAAATAATACTGTGTTTTGGATAAGAAAACAAAGAATGTAGATGTGATCTATAGGTTAGACGTTCACGCGCGACACCAAAGATTCTGGGCTCGTGGGTGTGTACTGCTGAAAAGCCTAGTACTTTCAGATTTTCAATGTTGGTCTAAGATTGATCGGTTCACGATCCCAAGTAAAAAGAAAGTTTTGGTGTGTGGTAAAATTCTACTGTATTTTATTTGTAACAACTACCGGTGCTTTTTTTACATTTATATTCTGAACAAAAGCTAGAGCCAATAGAAGTGTTCCACCATTAGTATATCTAGAACATACGTTAACTTTCTGAAGATACCAAATTCCATGTTAGCTTAGAAATAGTTTAAATCATAGGATCACTAACGTAAGAACTACTTACGGTGATGTCTATTTATTTCAATCTTTTCTTCGACCTATGACCGTACGGTCAAATTCCTTTAGTAATGAGTTATATCATGATGAACATCATCGATAGGTGCTTGTATAATTTAGTCTCAGTCACCTCTTTTTAAACGTCCACCTACCACCAATATTTTCTTTGTAATAGTCACTTGGTTTCACCTTCAATTAGTAGTTTTGACATTAAGATTCATCTTTACTCACTTAAATTTGAGGGCAACTAGTGGTCTCATTTGCTTTTGCAAAATCACAGTCCTTCGAAATTGATTATATTAGGTCATAGTAGACCAGTAATATGAATTGTCATAACTGAATAGATATTCAAAATGCAACTTGATCGCACATACGCATGGATTGCAATCAGTCATGAAAACGTCGAGAAACACGAGTGATTTACTTGTAGACTTGTATACCCAAGTTAATAGTGCTTTATTCGTTCATGAACCATACTTCTGTGTGGGTTAGTGATACTACTTGTTTAGTTGAAAGGAACTGGTTAGGCAAAAGTTCTCACATGACATTAAATGGATAAAAGTAGAATTCTTCAACCAGTTCTCCATTTTATTTTAATACTACATCTATTGTCTTTCAATTGGAGAATGCTTACGCTTGATTGTGATTTCCAGAGTACAGATATTTTTCTTCAAGTTATCAATATAATGTGCATGCAAATTAGTCAATAGTCTGATATATCAGGAAACCCATTAAAGTCTTTTATGTAGCTGAAATATATGAATGATGATTAAATCTACATAGAGTAACTTGGTAATATTAAAGTAACTTATTCACATTCTCATTAAAATCATTGTTTCAGTAGTATATTAAACTATAATTCAAATCTACCTGTGAACTCTTTGATTGTTTTCATTCTACTTATGAGTAACTTCAAATATTCTTTTCAAAATTTAATTTACTACTTTTGTTTACTGATTTATAACTTATCAGATTTTATAACAAGTATTACCAAACAAAAATGAATTTACTGGATTCTTGGTTGGATAAATTAGAAATTGAAAATAGTAGTAAACATGATAACAGATCTTTAATGGAATATCATCTCAATTCATGGCTAAACAAAATATTAGATCACCCTACAATAAATAAAATTGTTTGCATCACTTCTGGAGGTACTATTGTTCCGTTAGAAACAAATATGGTTAGGTATATTGATAATTTCAGGTAAGTACATTATTCAGATAAGAATTTTTACTTTATCCTAATTGGCAATGTTTTAATGTTTGTAGTGATAGGAACTGTGTTCGAGTCCCACAGTATGTGTACATCAACACTTTGATTCGTTTGACAAGCCCCATGTAGGATGGATCAGTAATTCTGGATTTCAACTCTATTCAAAGTACACTAAAACCTAAATAGTTATGCTTAGAATAAGTGTTGAATCTCGTTTCATCGTATAATAGTTTCTGTCTAACTGTTGCTCAACAATTTTCCAGATAATATTTAAAATAGTTATTTCAGGATTTCACTAATATTCTCTTTAAATCTAACATTTCTTTATTGGTTGTTTGTCTAATTAATGATATACGTATCTTCCTACCTTAGAACCAACCTGTGTTCCATTTAATACATAAGAACTTAGCTCTTGGACTGTTTTATGAAGACATTAGTGATTGCACTCAGAAGGACCAAATATCGCTGATCAATGATACATCTGGTTATTCTTCATTATAATTGAGCTTTTCAGCTAAACACTACATAAGTTCATTGCAGTAGGAATTCAGTTCCATGGTACAACTTCAGCTCTAATGCTTATCCCTAACACCTAGCATTGTCAATCATAGGATAGTTGTATATTGAGCGTCGCTTGTACGTTGATAGATTGAAAACTTGTTCGTAACACTTAGTTTAAATGTCAAATATGAATCTTTAAGATACATCAAATATTTCAAGAGTCCTTGTTAAATATTCCTCTTCTCTCCGATACCATGAAGACCATAAGAATTATTCAAGATTGGGATAACCTCTTGTATTGGTATAAAAGCTGAATGTATTTGCTTTCTGATCGCCGATCTAATGTCCAGATGATTACTGATGAATTAAACTTTTAAAAAGTTGTATGTACTCACGATTCTATTCTTAAATTCTGAGTTCATATAGAACTATGAGCCAATTTTTTGCTATGTATATATATATAGGGTGCGATTTAAAGGGGATAAAATTGCTATTTCTTTAATTTTGTCCAGTTCTTATGAATTCAGTTCACGTATCTCATTATGATAGATTACTATGTGTATACATTGAAAATTCAACTTGACTATATTGTTTGTTGTTTCTTTTCAAATAATAGTACAGGTTTAAGAGGTGCACTTTCTGCGGAATATTTTCTACGCTCAAATTATGCTGTATTATACTTTCATCGTAAAGGTTCCTTACTACCATTTTTACATCGTTTAACCAATCAACAACAAAATTATCACCGAGAAGAAGAAGAACAACAACAACAAAAGTGTACAAAAGAGGTGGATTCAGAGAAATTAACTAATACTACTACTAATAATAGTAGTAATAGTAACCAAAATAACATCGAAATATTTAATTGGTTCATGTTTAATCCACAAGAGAATAAGTTACAATTAAAAGAGAATTCTGTACAGTTTTTAAGTTCAATATTCAATCAATATACTATGTATGGTGAGCAGTATATTGTCAAGGTTTTGCGTGTTTGTATTATTATTCATTGTTGTTTACATTTTTTACCCAGTGGATTATAATTTTAAAATGGGTTTCTTATCACGCAAAATGAAAATAATTCAGTGGTCTAGATGTTAAGCGTTTCAGCGCCCTCAAATGCCCTGGTACGGCCGAGAGTGGGGAGAGTCCGCTCACCCTCTTAAAATGCTATCACATGGCCATGCGTATATAGCCTCTACCAAGGAAGTCCTACTCACTGCCTTCACGTGGTGGGGGTGTTGTTTACGAAAATGAGAGGACGAAAAGCGAATTTCCGGCGCTTTAACCGGATCCCAAACCAATGATGCACATGAGCTGGCTCCAGTATCCTGAAGGAACAAATGGCGTATGAACCAATCATTGGCCACTAACTACCATGGGACTGCATCTCCTTACGATGCTCCACTGCCTTGTGGGTTAGACGTTCAGGTCGAAGGCTCGGGCTGTGACCTCCTAAGAAAACCACCTGCTTCGGTTTGGGCACCCGGGCAGTATCACAGCCCTCACACATATTAAATGAGATTTGTGTGGCGCATATGTATTTGGTGCCTCCTTGTTTGAGCGCGAGACAGAAGGTCCTGTGTATAAATCCCACGTGCAGGATCGTGGATGTGCACTGCTGAATAGTCCCATACTTGGATGAAGCAACCATCCAGTGCTTCCAGACTTCCTATAGTGGTCTAACATCGATCGATTCATGATCTCAATCGAAAAATTCATTTTCAATATGACAGTGTCACTTACTAAAGCTGTGTAATTGCATTTAATAGTAAATTTTACACAAAGTAGTCTACAATAAAAATCGAAAAGTATTGCATCATTGGCAAAAACACCAAAAGTAAGCAAAAATCAAGTATCGAGTAAAGTTACATAATAGTCAAACATAAAAATGTCAAATATCACGTGACAAAGCCGCCAATCAGAATACCAATTTCTGTGACCTTGTCCCCGAGCTAGACCAATGATAAGTCAACCTGCAAATGTAGATCCTTATTGATCCTCTGTATGGTAACTTCTCGCTTAACCCTGTCCATTGAGCCCAGAACACAATCTCAACCTCCACTGTATGAATCGTATACTTCAGACATACGTGGTTCATATACAATCAGACCAGACTGTATTACTATAAAATCAAAAATAATCATTATACAAGATCAAGGTAAAAGTGACTGTAACTATGGAATACTGTAACTAATAGATTGGAAATAAATTAAGAATGGTACATCGTATAACAGTAGCCAATCCTTCTAATGAAAGCTTATGATAAAAGTAATATAAATAGTTATACAATAAAAATATATAAAATAATAGTACATAAATAATTCCTGGAAGTTACCATTAATTTAATTTTCTTCGAATGCACCAGAATGGAAGCAATAATTTTTCAATCACAAGACTATATACGAATAAATAAGAATTTGACAAAGTTCATTAGTCATCCAAATGCTGACATAGAATCTGGCACAATTTTTTACTAGTTCATGTTGCCACACTATTTTGTTCTGACCAGACGAAACTATCAAGACAAATACGCTAGTAATAAAAGTTGTAACAGTAATAGTACCAGTAAAAAACTTTCGGTATATACAATACGATTTGACAACGAATTTGTGGAAATAGAAAAATATACAATAATTTGAAAACTCAAGATTGAAACGATGAATGATTTTGAACCATCTTCAATTATTGGTTACAATAATCGCGAGGATCTTAACATGATAATCTGCATCTACCTACACAGCTTAATGCAACAATGAATAACTTCATAGACTGATGCCACGTCTTGGATTATCCATTCTTGCTGATAAGTATTCACTAAATCTAGTTCCATAGCTTCCTGTTGACTTCTTTGAATTGTTTAACGTTAATACACGCCTAAAACGACTCTTTATAAACTGCTTTCATTTATTATAATACAACATACTAATCATTCCTTTTCAATGATCTCTTTGTTTTCATTCATGCCTAATTAACACAAGGTCAGTACTTATTTACACTAGATTTTGAAACGATAGAGGATTATTTAATCGGTTTACGTTGGATAGCAAAACAATTAGAAGCGATTCATGTAAACAGAAGCAGTACACAAAAACAAATTCATTTGTCCTTTTATTTATCTGCTGCTGTCTCCGATTACTATTTAAATAGAGAATATCGTCCAGAGCATAAAATACAAACAAAATCAATATTATCTACTACTGCTAAGAGTAGTGATGATTATTTAGACAAATCTTTATCAGGAATAGAAGATTTACACTTGTCATTACAACCAGTACCTAAAGTTATGAAATTACTGACTACATTATGGTCACCTTCTTCATATGTTATTAGTTTTAAAGTGAGTGAAACAATAGTGAGTGATATATTTTATTATAACTTTATATTTATGATATCAAAGAGTTTAAACCCAACAACAAAAACTTATACCTTGACATGATGTTCACTTTTGTCTATATGCGCTAACCACATTTACAATGAAGTTACCTAGGTCCACAGTTCATTTTTTGAGGATTTGAAAATGAATATCAAAGACAAATTGACTGTCACAGTTAGATTCAGTGTTATCTTTTTCGCTTATTTAACAGTCATACGAATAAATTAGAGTTGTTCCCATCATTATGAACAGATGAAATTAAGAGCTCGTTCTCAATCACATATACCCGTTACTCTTCATGGTGCAGCATAGGCCGCCCACCAGGATTTTCCAGCCGAGTCTGTCCAGGGAAATCCTTTACAGTTGTCGCCAAGTGATACTCATCCTTTTGATACTCACTTCCGAATATAAATCAATTTTAATCTCACAGTCTAAGGGAAAACAAAGAGTGTATACGCCCACGCCACTGCGATCGATTCTGAGCCATGTCACCAAGAGTCTCCAACAATAAGTTACGATAGTCGCGCGGACCACAACCAAGTAATCTGCATCTAACAACATGGTTCAGATCAGAGGTTAGTGACTTCAAGGACTGATGCCACGTTTTGGTCTGGCCGCCCCTAACTTTCTTCCAACCATCCCCAACACTACTCAGCATTGGGCGGTGTGATAATCGGTGGTTGGGCATACGCAGCCCGTGGCTCATCCATCTCAGTCGGTAAAGATTTATAATCTCATCAACTGACTTACCATGTGTCGAACCTCACTATTACTTACCCGGTGATCCCGGCAGATGTGAGCAATATTTCTAAGACATCTGTGATCAAATACTAGTAGCTCACGAGTATCTTCACTCCCTATCCTTAGTTCAGATGTTGACGCAGGTCAGTCCTGAAGAAACAAACTTGCATTTAGGTAGGGAGAAACGTATCCCAAACTTTCTGGGATTGTTGCTCAGTGCTACCAAAAGGCACTGCATTTTATCAGTATCTTCACCAAACAGGACGATATCATCTGGGTATTCTAAATCAACAAGTCCTCCCGGTAGGAGATCAATGCCCGAGAATTTAGTCGACGAGATCATTATTTCCATCAGCAGGTCTATAATAAAGTTAAACAAAAATGGGGAAAGTGGACAGCCTTGCAGGATACTACTTGAGGTTCCGAAAGCAGATGACAGTTCGCCATATGCTCTGACTCGACTAGTAGTGTTCGAGCAAAGAGCCTTCATAAAGTTTATGTACTTCTGAGGTACACCTTTCAATGACAAACACTGCCACAGAACCTCTCGGTGTACAGTCAAATGCTGCGTTTAAGTCAAGAAAAACTAACATTGTCGGACACCGATGAACATTCTTGTGTTCTAGAACCTGACGAACGGTGAATATGTGGTCGATGTAGCCACGACCAGGTCTGAAGCCAACCTGATTTTCTCGTGTTTGCAGTTCACGAGTTTTAGTTAGGCGTCCGATCATTATTGAAGCTAGTATTTTCGATGCTATGTTAGTCGAACTAATTCCTCTATGATTACCACAGGATGGTTTTAACTCTTTCTTATATATTGGGACGATAAGTGATTGTGACCAGTCCGATTGGATTAGGTCCAACCACCAGGTTTTAGCCAAAATATTAGTCAACCTAATCGCTAAAATTTGACCACCATACTCAAAGACGTCTGCAGCCAAATTATCTGGACCAGCTGATCCTCCTCGTTTCGGATTAACTATAGTCTTCTGAACGTCAGCTAGAGTCGCGGGGCCTACTTCAATGTTCCATTCAAGCTGCTTGGGAATAGTGGGTAGTTGAAGAGTAGCTGAGGGCCAGCCGAACTGCTTCTTAAAATGTTCCACCCATCGTTCTAAACGTCTGGGCTGAGAGCAGATAGTCTCACTTAAACTGGACTTCTTAACTGCAGTTTCTTTTATTAGTTTGTAGAGCTATATTGTGTTACTTACAGTCACTGCCTTTTCCATTGGTTTCCCACTACTGCTCATGGTTGTTCCTTAGACTTTTGGTTAACCTAACCTAAATTTGATTTGTACTCGCTCTTCATCATGTTCCGTACGACAGAACTATCTTGACGTTCGTGTTGAAGATTCTGACTTTGATATTGTTTGACAGTTGTTTCGAGTACCATATGTTCATCAACTGTAGGAATCCTACTCCTTGTCTTCACTATGGAACATTTCATAATTACCTTAATTTATAAGTAGATAAAAATATGTTCATAACAATTTATTTACAAGTAAATATTCTATCACCTATTTCTCAAAATCTATACAGTTTCGAATAATTTACGCCTGTTTTCTAAGTTCATTACACACCATAGAATTTTGATATATTGATGTGATCATTTGTATGTACCAAACTTAATGTAGTCTTTTATTTAGCGAAAATGATATGCATAACTAAGCTACTAAGTCATCTGATTATTGTACTAAAAAAATGTGATGCTTTTTTTAAAGAGCTTTTCCTGTAAAATTTAAACTGTATTGAATTGATGTAGAATTATTGAATTGTCGGATAAAATATCACATCAAATAAGAAAGATTAGTTCAGCGAAGAGTTCTCTTTTCGGCGAATTCATTTTCAAAGCTGTGGTAACATATTCGGTGAAAAGATTGTGTTCCTTAGGTGATAATTCATATAATACAGGAGATCTTTGTGAAATATTAAATTCCAATAACGGGATGCGTGGACGAATAGAATCGATAACATTTTGTGCACGGCGTTTAAGAGATTTTGAGTTTGGATAAATATGGTTTCTTCGAAGAATTTTCCAGTAGTATTTAGGATATTTGTGCATTTTAATGCAATCCTTAGTGAAGGTAAGTTTCGCATTCACTTCCGCAAGTTTGACAGAATAGCGTATTATACGAATTATCACTTAACGAACACAATTTTTTCACCAAATATGTTACTACAGTTATCGATTGTACAGCTTTGAAAATGAATTCGCCGAAAAGAGAACTCTTCGCTGAACCAATCTTTCTTATTTAAAATATCACAATCAAAACTATGCAATATGTTGTTTGCAAGCAAATAACGTCCATACAATAATGGACAACAATTTTTCCAGATTCCATGTGAACAGAACAACAAACCATTAATCAATTGTAAAAAAAATTCCAATAGCTCACTGCTTTTTGAAGTATGTATTGATGACAAGTTGTCTAATTAAGCAAAGGAAGCTTCATAATTCAATCGACCAACTATAGAGAACACAACACCAAATGTGTGATCAGATTGAAATGTATTTTACTGATATATATCACATCGCCTTGACAAATTTCCTCTCATTGCACCACTGGTTGCAGGTACTACGATACAAATGTTACTCATTCACTAATTATATGTTAAAACAGTCAGCCTTAAGTTACATTCCTTTATGTCAAGGCTAGCAAAACTACAACCAAAGATACATGGTAAAACCAACAATCAAGCCACTATTCAACTACAAAGACTAACCAACTGGTTAAATTTAGGTAGATGGAATGGTATTAGAGACTAAAATCTAATAAGTGGGAGTTGAGTAAACAACCCCACCACAAAAAGCTCATTTACACCTTCAACACGATATTTATACACTTACAAAATCCAAATCACATTCGAGCAACTACAATATATCAACGGGTTATTTAACTAGTTTAACTCCGGAATAAAAGACGATCACAATCTAGAAAAACTGACAAGAGATCGTAATAAAAAGACATTCTATACTTTTTTATTGAAAATACATTTAGTTGTCCCCACCCTATGTCCTCGTTCATCACAGTATTATGTGAAAACTCATATTAGCCTAGCATTGAACTGGTTTATTGTGAAAACATTGTTTACAATTCTTAGAAAATGTTAGGATAAATGTATTTATTTATTTATTTTGAGCTTGAAACAGATCATCGATTGTTACTAGTTAAAGCAAAACAATCCCTTGAAATGTACAATCCCAATGTGATAGTTGCTAATCTTTTACAAACCAGATCAAAAGAAGTATGGTTAGTATTTAAACAGAATAATAATAAACAGGACATAACTGTTGAATATATCAATATGGAGAATAATACTAATGAAATCAATAAACGGCAAATAATATCGCAAGAAATTGAATCTATTCTAATTCCTCGATTGATACAACTTCATGAACAAACAATTAATCAAACTATTAAGTAACATTTATAACCTTTGTAAGATAATAATCTATTCAGTTTTATTATTCCTTTGAAATAAAATCTGATTGTATACTAGTAATTTATTATTTGGATTTGAAATGGGGATAGAACCACGAAAAAAAAGAGAGAAGACAAATGATAAATCTATGTTATATTTTTTTATTATAAAACATAGGTATATATGACCAGTTTTATATTGTAAGTAGTATTTATAATGATATACATTGATCGAGAGAGTTGAGAATACAATAACATATATAGGAGATGGTAAATGAATAGGATTAAGACATTCTTATAATTGAACAGTCATGAAAACATTCACGAAAGAAATTTATCCAAGAAGAAGATAATACTGAAATGGAAAAGAAACAACATGTATGATTGGATTAGAAAGCTTAAAAGTAAATACGAGTGTAATGCATGAAAATAATTTACTATTAACATTTTACACAATACATGTAAGTATGGATTAGAGTTAACTTTATCTATAAGACTGGTTAGTGATAGTTACTGCTTGATTAATTACATTGAAGTAGGTGTGAAGTCGTTTTCTGAATATACAATTCAGTAGTAATAGGGGTAGACAAGTGTTTCAAGCATTGAATCACTGACTAAGTATTATCACTAGAGTTAATATAACGGGTGAAAATTTATCCTCGTAGTTAAAATTTGATCGCCATATAAGCAATCTGCAAAGCTTGCTCATCAAAATGATGAAGAGCAACTGGAAAGGACTGTCCAGGACAGAGTTGCATGGAGAATGCTGATGAGTGGCCTATCCGCTCAACGAGGGGTAACAGGCGTAAGTAAAATGACCTATTGGGTTGTATTTGATTACACTATCATTTACAAGAGTTTATGTTATTAATTCAATTTCGTGAGCAGTTATCACCTGGACGATATACCTTGGAATATGATGTGTCCTCGATTAACCAATACATATATGTCGATTTTTGACCAAAAGTATGTTCATCACAAACCTGTGCAACTTGCAAAGACAAATGTGATCGAGTTGTACTTCGCAAATGAGTTAGCTACAAAAAAGGTACAGACCAAATTGTATGCTAATCACGCAAATTAAAATAGCTATTCCTCTATTGGTAAGCAATTCATTAAAAAGTATCATAAATGATCGATTTTGAACAGACAAGATATATTTCGAAGTATATTACACAACATACATACTACTTTATTACCTCGCTGAAATTATGAATCACTTAGCGCTGCTTGTGCTCGTGAGACTGCCGCTTTAAATTCCTCAGCATCTGTATCAAGCTAAACGATAACAAAAACGAAAGAAAGAAATAATAACTTTTTTAGAAGGACAATAACGAAGCGATTCCACAAATAAAACTACTGGTAGTATCATATATTATTTATTTAAATGATTAAAATCATGAATCGATCGATGTTAGACCATCATTGAAAACCTGGAAGCACTGGACGGCCGTCTCATCCTAGTATGGGATTCTCCAGCAGTGCACATCCACAGGCCAGCAAGCAGGATTCGAACAGAGGAGTTTCGGTCTCGCGCGCGAACTCTTGATCTCTGGGTCACTGAGTCGGTATCGATTGTCGCGCGAGACCGGATGTCCTGAGTTAGAATCCTGCTTGCGGGGTCGTGGATGTGCACTGCTGGAGTGTCCCATACTAGGACGAGACGGTCGTCCAGTGCTTCCAGGTTTTCAATGGTGGTCTAATATCGATTAATCCATGATCTCAATCAAAAACTTTACAACCCCATACTGATTATATAAATAAATTGAATTCTACTCTTTTTGTCACACTCACTTTAAATCGAACAGCTAATGTTTCTAGGCTAGCTGAACCTTCACTGTAGTCTTCACCAACCCAACATAGACTATTACCACCAGACATATTACCCATCGGTTTCAATACTGGTATTTCATGACTAATAGGATGATTTAAGCATAATTTTAGAACTTGATCACGACGCATTAAAATACGTGCACGTCCAATGTCAGTTAATTTAAATTCTACAGGGACTACATCACGTGGTCCAAAGTGTTTGGCATCTGTAGGCATAGTACGAGGTTGTACAAGAACTTTGATTTCACCAACGCCACGTTCTTTCCAGGCTTTATCAACATAACGGTAGGCACGGCAACGTCGAAGGAAAATACAAAGCTCCTCTTCTTCTCCAGTCTTGACCTGGAATAATAAGAACATATAGAGGTGTAAGCAATGAAAACTGCAGTATTTAATTCTGATTTTTGAAATCTGAACAGAATTACTATTCTTAAAACTAGGAAGTCAATCACATTGAAAATTATGGATATACTATCGGAAAGAAAGACATACCTCAACAAGTTTTGGCAATGGAACAATTGGTTCATAATGAGGATCATTTTCTGTATCAGATGTGTCATCGTCATTTTGTTCAGTTACTGCCTTGACAGGTTTAGTAAATAGTTGCGCACCTACATTACTCCATGTTGGAGCGCTATTCGGTGAACCCCATGTTGGTTGATTGTCTTTAGAAGCAGCATCACTCAACGTTGAAAAGCTAATTAAGCCCTTGACTTGTGGGATGTACATGGACGACGATGAAGAAGCTGACAAGTAGGTGAAAACATCGTTACAATAAATAAATGTAACGATATTGTAAGCAGTAAAACAGACTATTCAATCACATTGTATTGTTAATATTGTATACTTATTTACAGTTCTCATGATTTAGTGATCTAACAAGAAAATATTTGTCATATAGAAGATATCGGTGGTAGTTGAATGATTAAAACCCTTGGCTTTCAACTAGTAGACTGGACTTTCGAACCTCAGCTTCAACTGCTATGATTTGGCCAACCATACCTAATAATATCACTAGCCATCATACAAGCATTGTAGCTCACTTAAAGCTGAGTATAGAGATATTTAGTAAATGAGTTACAATAGTAATAGAGAATATTAGGAAACAAATTTTTATAAACAAAAAAAATGATTTTATTGACTGAATTGTACCCTTACAAATGATTTCATAATAGTTGAAATCATGAGTCAATTGGAACTAGACCACCATGGAAAACCTGGAAGCACTGGACGGCCGTTTCGTCCCAGTATGTGACTCCTCCAATGGACTCATGATTCCAACTATTGAAATTAGAATTTAGCTATTTATTAAAAATAATCAGGATTTATTCTAGCGTCATTAATATTCCAACCTATATTTGGTCAACTTGCAGTTCAATTCAGCACTATGAGTAATACACAGAAATTCAAGTGAAAATTAATTGACATTTTTCAATTGCGTTAGACATGGAACTTAAACTATGTGTCTTTTATTACTCAAATATTGAAGACTAAACACACGAAGACCGTTGATAAAATATAAACTTCCTGAATATGTATTTAAAAAAGGAAACTGGTACTAATTTTTGTATTTGTAAAACAAACGCTCACCTGTAACTACTTTTGTACACTGAACCTCGGTAGTTGCGTTTTGCTGTTTAGAGGTCGGTGTGAGTTTAACGGTAGGATCACTATCTGAATGTTCTTTAGTAGTGGTAGTAGTAACACTGTCTCTGTTACTTTTTACAGCAGCTTCTAATAGTGCATCTTCTTCGGCTTCTTCTCGTGCTGTAAGATGCTCTGATTCACCAGTTATGTGACCATTCTCAAAACTGTAAAATTCATCAGGTAATTTAAGTCTACGAGCCCGAGATAATTGATCATCTGATACCTAGAAATTCAAGAGTAAAAGATGTAATGTAGCTGTGGAGGGAGAGGGCCAAGAAAGTTTTAATCTACAAGTTGACTTAAATATATCTTAAGAAAATAACATGCGTCAACTATCAATACCTCACATTAGTACACTTATCCTTAGAAACTATAAACATTTGAAAATACGAAACGATGAGATAAATTATTTCAAAGCACGTCATCTATATTTGTTAAACATATTTACAAAGAGCATAATAAACACTGAACTAACCTTTAAAGGAAGTTCAACGACAACTACATCAGAGTCCGTATCATCACCATTTTGATCTAGATCCACTGTTTCTTTATTCGACAGCTTTATTTCACTTGACTGAGATGTTTTGGCACGGTTCTCAGCCGTTTGAACAGCTTCTTCGAAAAGTGATCGAAATTCATCACTATCCTCAGTAAGCTTAAAACGAGCTGCAAATGTCTCACGTCTACCTCCACCAACCAAATTAGATGAGTCAGTTTCGGTCGTTTTGTTAGCCTCATCAGACTGCTCAGAATAATCAATGGCCCACCAACTCCAAGCACGACCACCTCCAGTATTCATGGGTTTTAAATGCATACCAACTCCGATCACATGATTACAACATACTTTCAAAACATGATCACGACGCATCAAACAACGTATTACACCAGTTTCTGTAGAACGAAGTAATTTTAAATCACCAATTCCACGTTCATGCCAAGTGTTATTATCCCAACGATAAAGTTTGGCGCGACGACAAAATATAACGTCATCATTTTCTTCTCCAGTTACGACTTCAATCTTTTGTGGCATGACTTCAAGCACAGGTTTAAATGTCAACTTCGAATCATCTAGAAGTTCGACTTTATCGTCATCATTATCGTCGTTATGATGACTAGTACTAAGAGTAGGAGTTGAAAAATTAACTGTCGATGGCTTATTCGTTTCATTCACTTTAGATAATGCGTTACCAAAAGAAAAAGTGAATCCTGCACTGGGTGCAACTGTTTTCTTCTCGTCAGCTGACGCAGTGGATGTTAAAGGAGTAGAAAACGTTGGAATCGATGGTGCGCATACAGAAGAGTTTGAAGTGAATGAAGAAGTAAAAAGGAACGACTTTGTCACTGGTGTCTGAGATGATGATATAGAAGGAAATACATTTGTAAGTTGCTTAGGAGAAGTGGCAACAAAACTGAATATAGGTTTGTGTGCTGCTGATGTTGTAACTGTTGCTGAGACTATTGTAACAGAATCAGTAATATTAGCATTAATAGTAGTAGTAGTAGTAGTAGTAGTAGTAGTCGTGAACTCTGAACCTTTTGGATTTCCAAATACAAAACCACCAGTATTTTGTAAAATGCCACCAAATAAAGATGTT